GCCGTGACCCTGGCGGTGGCTGTCGGAGGGCGCCGTGGGCAGAGACCGGTGCGCGTCAGCCGGGTAGGGTGTGGGGTACCAGCATGGGGCAAGGCTGAGGCGCAGCGGGGTCACGCACTGGGCGCTGTGTCCAGGCAGGAGGGCGCCGGCAGCTCTTGCAGGTCATTTCCGGGGTGCCGGCCTTCAGCTGGGAGCAGCGAAGCCCTGCGCCAGGCCATGCGGGAGGGCCCAGCGAGGCAGATCTCTGACAGGCTGCGGCGAGCACCGCCATCTTGCCAGGGGTAGGGTCCCCGGGCCGGCGCCCTTCGTGCCCCAAGACACCCCTGCCCCTGCCCGGCACGCACCTCCCTGCCCAGCAGCGGCAGATGAGCCCCTTGAGCTGGCTCCGACTCCAGCAGCGGCTTCAGGCTCCGTGGCGGTTACGCGGGTCACAGTCAGTGGCCCCCCCGACCCCGCCTCTACGCCCCCAGCCCCAGTCTCCCACCCCCACCTTGCACAGCTCCATCGGGTCCCCCAGTCTCCGAGGTAGCCCCATGATGATGGGCTGGAAAGAGGCAGCGGCTCCGGGGCCCGCGCTGTGGGAGACCTGAGCCCTCACCGCGCGGAGTCAGGATAGGAGGCCCCGCGCCAGGCTCCCCGGGTCGCTGGAGGAGCGTGCACGGCACCCTAAGGAGGCGGTGTCGCCCGCCCTGCCCCGGGCCACCTGCAGGTCCCCCCTCCTGGCCTTTGTTCCTGCGCTGGGCTGGGTTGGGGGATGGGGGAGAGCTGGGGGCGCGTCCCTCCATCCCAGGAGCACCCCAGCACCTGTAGGGGTGTATGTGAGCGTCACGGGTGGGGCCAGACCGTGCCTAGCGCTGGCTGTGGCCCCTGCTGCTCTAAGGCCCTGTGTTCATTCGGGCTCAGCGCCCCCTCTGGGGGCCCAGCCCTCACCCGCCCGGCCCAGCAGGTGGCAGGCACTAAGGGGCGGGGCTCAGCGAGCTCCCAAGTGGGTTTCCCCTCAGGCCGTCCCCCACCAGGAGCTCTGCCAACTGAAGGGCTGGGCCGGAGGGGAAGCAGGCCCGGAGAGGGGTCTCCACCAGTTGGGTCCCGGCGGCTGGGGACCTGGCCGAGGCAGGACGAGCGCCGGGGGCTGGACAGCCCGCCCGCAGCCCAAAGGGCTCCGTCGCATTCTCGTGGCTCTGGAAGTTAGTCTCATCCGGCTCCAGGTGCTGCCCGGGGAGCCTGAGGTCCAGGGAAGATGAGGCCTCCCAGGAGCCCTGCGCGCTTTCATCTCAACTGGCCCCGGCGGGTTCTCACCCCCGCGCGGGATGGGTGGGTGGGGAGGTGCAGGATGACAGTTCCACGCCCCAGAGGCCCTCCGGGCAGCCTCCCAGCGCAGCTGCTGCTGTCGCAAACTGGCAGGGCATCCCCTGCCCACCTGCTCGGGGGCAGCCCCCCCCCAGCCGACTGGCGGGGCAGCGGTAGCTCAGGGAAGCGCGCCACCGGCCCTGCCCACTCCCTAGTGGCCGCCAGCAGACCCCACCTGCCGGCCAGAGGAGGCCCCGGCCCGGAGTCGAGGGTGCTGTCCAGGGTGCTGGAAGGACCCTCCCTCCCCCACTCACCACCCAACCCCCCAGGCCTCGCCCCTGCTTGCTTGGCGGGAGAAGCCCAGCGTGCCCATCAGAGAGCGGCCGAGCGGGCTGGGAGACACGGCCCTCAGCCACACGGACCCCTCTGGCCCACCGAGGACCCCCGAGCCTGCATCCGTGGAGCATCTGGCGTGTATCGTTAACCCCAACAGACCAGGCCATGGGAATAAGTTGTCCCGTGCATCCCACAGCAGGGCCCGCGGGGCGCCGGAGCCCCTCGCCCCTTGCGACGCTGAGCCCAGGCCCCGGCCGGCCGGCCGTCTGCAGAGCAGTTAGGGACTCGTTAGGGCTCAGAAAAGCACCGCGCAGCTCCCGCAGCCATGCCCCAGATGCCTCTCCCCGGCCCTGGCCACACACCTGGCTCACTCGGCTGGGCGTGCTCCCCCCAGCCCCCTGCCCCACGGCTGCACCCTCCCCGAGCGGTCCCAGCTCTGGGGGAGAAGCCGGAGAGCAAGGTCCCCCCTCAGACACCCCCTTCCCCACCTGAGTCTTCAGAACAACAGGAGCGAACTCCCTTTTAAGTTACCCTAGATTTTAGAGGTCTTTCTCCCCATGCTCCCTGCAACTGAAGGATCCTGGGGGTCTTGTTGGTTATTTGGAACAAGAGTCATTTATAACCCAGAGAGCTGAGTGGGCCGGGTTTTAGGGTGCAGGCTTTAGGGAAGTTGGGGCCTTTCCACCCCCTGGGTGGAGGGACACTCTCCACCCCCTGGCCCCTGCCCTTGGGTGGGGGGGCGAGGATTGAACAGGTGCTTCCCCCAAAGCTAGGGTGGGTGGGTGTGAACCTAGCAGAGAAATGAGGGGATCCCAAAAGCTGACATCTAGAGACAGTGGGGGTGTCTGGGCAGAGGGAACTTCAGGGCAAAGGGAAGAAAGCACTCTTCTGTTTGTGAACCCACAGGCAGGATATGTAAAAAAAAGAAACCAAACCAGGGGACTCCCTGGTGGCACAAGGGGTTAAGCACAGCACTATGAAGCTGTCTGCACCCACTGCCGCACAAGTTCCATGCCGGGCCAGGGCACTACCCACATGGCACAGCAGACCTGTCCTGTCTCCCCGCTGCTCCCCTCAGCAGTGGATTTCAGTCAATCCACCTGTTCTGTTCCCCACTCTGTCTCTGGTGAGTCCTCTCACCCCCCGCACCTCTGGCCTGCACCCCAGTTCTGGGGCTACCCCCCCCCGTACCCCTCCATGCCTAGAAACACCTGCAGTTCACGTCCTGTGATGGCAGCGGGCTTGTATGCACAAATAAATAAATCTTAAAAAAGAAAAAACCAACAGGGCCTCCCTGGTGGCGCAAGGGGTTAAGACACAACCTATGAAGCTTACTGCAGCCTCTGCAGCACGAGTTCCATCCCCGGCCAGGGAGCTACCCACATGGCGCGGCAGACCTCTCCTGACTCCCCGCTGCTCCCCTCAGCAGTGGATTTCAGTAGATCTGCCTGTTCTGTTCCCCACTACGTCTCTGGTGAATCCTCTCACCACGCGCACCTCTGGCCTGCACCCCAGCTCTTGTCTGCATAAATAAATAAATCTTAAAAAAAAATGAAGCCAACCCAGAAAAACTTGAGAGTAGGGACCGTGGCTATACCTGCATGTGGTGTGGGGGTCAGACAAGCCGGTGATGCTGGCGTGGTGCCCAGCAGGCAGGAGGGCTTCCAGGAGTACGTTCTTACTGGCTCAGCTCTCCACACTGGGGACCACCGTGGGCCCCGTGGAGCCCAGGCTCTCACACCCGGCCACAGGGAGGTGTCCCTCGGCCACCGGAGAGGCTCAGGGCTCCCCGCGCCCGCTGCCATCACAGGACGTGAACTGCAGGTGTTTCTAGGCATGGAGGGGTACGGGGGGTAGCCCCAGACAGCGGAGGTGCTGTGGGTGCAGCACCCCTGGGCGAGGGGGGCAGCTCCAGCGGGCAGCAGGCGCCAACCAAAGCACAGGGGCTGCCGGACAAGATTCCTTCCTCTCCTGGCCTGAAAACCGCCGGGCAGGGCTTGAGACCCCATGACCCCGGTGCCATGAAGGGAGTGAGGCTGGGCTGCATGGCGGGAAGGCGCCCGGAGACCCACCTGCACCCACCACCGGCAGGTCTGGTTCAGGAGGCCCCTTGCCAGGGAGACCGCAGTGCGAGGCGCCACCAGGTGGCGGCCCCAGGGAATGGTGTCCCCGGCCGCTCCTGGGCCCCTGGGCCTCTGTCCGCTCCTGGAAGCAGCTTCATGGCACAGCGTTTCCAGAGCCGCCCCCGCTAACCCTCACCCTCGTGGGCCTGCATGGGAAGCAGGCGGTGGCAAGGAAGGCAGGGCCGTTTCAAGGTCGCCGGATATGCTGACGGTGCCCACCGCGCCGCAGCCCCGGCTCTGGCAGCTCGTCCTGTGCCTCCCTCGGCTCCCACACGGGCTTGTGCACCAGCAGGGAGGCTGGGGTGCGCGTTCCTGGCCCATCGCCCTCCTGGGCCTTCCTGAGCCTCTGGGGAGGGGGTTGGCCTCACTCCCAGGAGGCTGCTCTGGAACTTCCCACTGCGCCCAGACCCTTGCCTTCCCCGTCGGCCGCCCCCACCCCAGACAGTGGCTCTGCGTACCCGGAGCCTCGCCACTACGTCCAGGCTGCCGAGTGCGCTCTGCCTCCCTCTCCCTCCAGGGCCGCAGAGGGTATCTGGGGTCTGGAGGAGGCCCGAGGGGCCCGCGTGCCTGGCGCCCACCCCTAGTCCCTCTGGATCTTGTTAGACCTGTTCCTGCCACAGGACCTTGGTCTTGGGACACCCCTTCAGCCCCCTGAACCTCCTCGGATAGGCCTTTCCTGCCTAACCTCTGCAGCTCACTCCCCATCACCCCATGTTTCTGCCCTGAGAGTTGTCCCCCCAAGGAAGTGTGGTAATAGCTCCCTGGCCGGTGCCCCCAGCATCTGGAGCACCAATTCTTTGGGGGGCTTACCTTGCCAGTGCCTGGACGGCTTGGATTCGAACCCAGTTTGCGACTCTGGGGTCTCAGTTTTACATGAACTAAATGAGGGGAGTGGCCGCGGGGCACACTGGCGGCTGTCGCCCGAGTCCGCCCCTCGCGCGCCCTCGCGCGCCCACCCAGCCTGCGGGGCGCGGGCGCGGGGCGGGGACTCGGGCGGCGGGGAGGGCGGGGCGGGGCGGGCGGGGCGGGGGGCGGGCCCGAGCCTTAAGCCGGGCGCCCGCGGGGTCCGGCCGCCCCAGAGCGCGGCGGAGGTGGAGCGCCGCGGGCCGGGCTGCGCCGAGCGGACCGACCGACAGTGGCTCCGCCCGCGCGGCGCGCGGGGCCCCGACGGCCGAGCCGCGGCTCCTCCGGCGGGAGCAGGGGCGCATGACGCCCCGGGGCGCGCGCTGAGCCGGGCGGGGGCCGCGGCGCGCCATGGCCCTGGAGCAGGCGCTGCAGGCGGCGCGGCAGGGCGAGCTGGACGTGCTGAAGGCCCTGCACGCCGCCGGCCAGCTGCAGCCCTCGCTGCGCGACCCGCTGGACGCGCTGCCCGTGCACCACGCGGCGCGCGCCGGCCAGCTGCCCTGCCTGCGCTTCCTGGTGGAGGAGGCGGCCCTGCCCGCCGCGGCCCGCGCGCGCAATGGCGCCACGCCGGCCCACGACGCCGCCGCCACCGGCCACCTCGCCTGCCTGCAGTGGCTGCTCTCGCAGGGCGGCTGCGGAGTGCAGGTGGGTCCGCGCGCGCCGGGCACCCCGGGTTTCCTCCCCCGGAGAGAGCTCAGGCGGGAGCCCCCCAGGGCTCAAGGGTGGGCGAGGCTGGGCACCTCCCCGCCAGCCTGCCCGGGAGCGCCTCCCGGGGCCTTGGTTGGGTGGGGTGGCTCCCAGGGTCGCAATGCCCGGGCAGGTGGCGCTTGGAAGAGCGCTTGGGCCTTGCAGAGGCAGAGGGAAATTGGACTCAGCCGGGCTAGTATTTAATGGGGGGCGAGGGGCCACCGACCCAGGGAGTCCCGGAAAGGGCCTGGGCCGCAGAATCAGCAGCCTGGGTCCTCTGCCCCAGGCCCGGACAGGTGCAGGCCGAGCTCCCCCCACCCCAGGCTGAGATGCAGGTGAGGGCAGGGCATGGGGGGACGGGTAGACCTGGTAATGGGGGCCTCCCAGGACCTGAGTGCAGGCGCTCTGGTCTCCCAGATCCAGACTGCTTCTCCAGCCCCGCCGGCGTCTCAGCGAGACCCCACTTGGTCGCAGGCTGGTGTGAGCCCAGCCCCTGAGCTGGGGGAGGACACGGCTCAAGTCTGTTGTGTGCCTCCTGCTGTCAACAGGGCATCTGGCAGGTACCTGGAGCTCAGGTGCGCTCCTGCTCCGGGACCTGCCAGTCCACGGGGGTGACAGCGGCAAGCCCACGGGCTAGAAAGTGAAGCAAGGAACACCGGTGCCACTGGGCCACAGAGGGGGCGCGTTAGGGAGCTTGATAGCGTGGCCAGGGCAGGCCCCTCTGGGAAGCGCCCCTGGCTGAGGGGGCGGCCGGGTGGCGCTCAGAGTGTTCCGGACACAGGGAACAAGACGTGCAGAGCCTGGGGCGTGTGCATTCCTCTGCCCCTGCGGCAGAAACACCAAGACACGTGTTGGTGCAGGAAGGGGGTGCGGCGCCGTGAGGGCCAGGTCCTAGGGTCCCACAGGCTGTGGGGCGGGTTTGGCTGATACCGTGATTGTGGGGGAAACCAGTGCCAGGAGCAACAGAACTGATTTTCCACCTAGCACGACTTCTGGGGTGACTTGTAGGCGAGGAGGCAGGAGCAGCTGTGAGCTGGCTGTGCCCTAGGGGTGGGCAGGCCCCCCCTTGCCCCCCCACCTCTCTGTCGCACCCTTCTGGGCAATGGCCCAACCCCTTATCTCCTGGCTGGCTGGTTATCAGGAGTTCCTGGCATGTGGTCCGTGCCCACTCTTTCAGGAGATGCGGTGCCTCCCTGATCTGCTGTCCAGCCTTGGCCAGAGCCTCCCTGGCCCCTGCAGAGGGTATGGAGGAGCAGGTGGCCTTGTGCCCGGCTTATCAAGTCCCTTGCCCTTAAGTCCCCCCTTGGGTGCCGGGGGTGGAACTGTGGTGGAGGAAGATGACCTGGATCCCCAGGCCTGCTCGGCCTGGAGGGATAAGCAGCTTTAGGGTGTGGGCTACAGCAAGTGGGGCTCCTGGGGCCTCCATAGCTCTTGGACCTCAGAACCGGCCAGAACCCTCAGGCTGGTGGTCCTCTCCATCCTGCCACCCACCTAGAGGCCTAGAGCCACCCAGACTCCTGGCACCTCACACGTGCAGGCCCCAAGGTTACCAGGCAGCAGGGACCTCTCAGGAGCTGGGGCTCAGAGCTTCGTCACGGTCCTGGTGGGGTCACCTCTAGGTAGCCCTGACCCCTGGGCCCAGGGGGCAGCTGAACCGGTCTTTCCATCTGCCCTGGGCATCCCACCACAGAGTCTCAGCCTCGTGCTCAGCATCCAAGGGGCCGTTTGCTCTTTGCCTCACCGTTGTGCTTCCTTCCCGGGGGGAGAGCCAGCCCTCCCCCATGCCAGGCCACCTGGCTGCCGCTGACTTACAGTCCTGCCAGGCCCTCCCGCTTCATCCGGGGTTCCTTACAGGGGCCCGTTTCTCTCCGCACTGACGCACACCCCTCGGGCTGCCCTGGCCACACGTGTCCCCAGGTGGCCTCCTGGCCGAGGGGCACTTATGCCTGCATGCTGCGCCCACCGCTCACTGCTGCCCAGCCCTGTTCTGGGCTCCTGCAGCCACCCTCATCCCACGGCTCCGGGGTCTGTGCCCCTCCCGCGCAGTGCCCACTCTCCCGGAAGCGCAGCCTCTGAGTCCAAAGCGCCGCCTTCCGGGTGATCCTCCCCTGACATGTCACAGCAGCAGCACCCAACAGCCCCCTCCCCCGAGACAGACACACACCAGGGTGTTCGCCATGGACGCATGGGCCAGTTCTGGGCCCAGACCCTCGGCCTGGCCCCTGGGGGGCAGGGAGGCGGCCTTGCCCAAGCTGACACCTGCCACTACTTGTTGGCTGCCCAAGTCCTGCCCACCAGGGCCCAGAAGCTTCCTCCTCCTCCTCCGCGGGGCAGGAAGAACAACTTGTCCCCATGGTGGGGCGGGGGTGCAGGCAGTCTGCTGGGAGAGCAGTTCCAGCCCTGAGGTTGGGGTGCACCTGACACTCAGGGAGGGGTCGAAGGAGGGGGGCAGGGGTGGGCAGTCCTGAGGCCGGCCTGGCACAGCCTTGTCACCCACCTCCTGCTACAGGCTTCTCCCTCACTCCTGGGGGTCCCCAGAGGTCCTGAGGACAGGCTCCTGGTGGCATGACAAGGGTGTCATGTCCCAACGGCCTGCTGTGCCAGTCACGCCCCCTGGCCTCAGTGTGGGCAGCAGGTGCTGCCACAAATGGACCGAGGTTCCAGGAGGCCGGAGCAGGGGCCAGGACAGAGCTGCCCTGGGGCTGGTGAGCCCCAGGGCACGGTCCAAACCAGAGACTCTAACAGACTCTCCCCCGCAGGACACAGACAATTCTGGTGCCACAGCCCTGCATCTGGCCGCCCGCTTTGGCCACCCCGAGGTGGTGGACTGGCTGCTGCGTCACGGCGGAGGGGACCCCACTGCGGCCACAGACACGGGCGCCCTGCCTGTCCACTATGCCGCCGCCAAAGGAGACTTCCCCTCCCTGAGGCTCCTCATCGGGCACTACCCAGAGTAAGAACGCCCTCTCGGAGGCCTCGGGGTGGGCCGGGCCGGGCCTGGGGATGCCCTGTCCCACGAGCGTTCAGGAGGATTGTCACTCCTGGGCCTTCCTGGCGGCCAGCGGCCACCCAAGCCCGAATCTCTCCCCCGTGGGGGCTCCCTCAGCCACCTGTCCAGGGCCCAGAAAGCAGAGCTCCCCAGCACAGGCTGGAGTCGGGGTGCTGGCACACCAGCCACAGTCACGTGTTCTTTCCGGAGTGCGTACCAGCCTGCAGTGGGCCATGCGGGAGCTCCGGCCTGGGCACGCTGGCAAGACCCCCTCAATGCGGGTGGGAGGAAGAGAGGGGGCCTCCCCCAGACCTCTGGTCTGAAAGCAGAAGAGCCCCTTACTTATCAGCAGCGAAGGGAGAGGGCTGCCCCCCCAGCACCCCGCGCCATCCAGAGAGCAGCTTGTCCTTTCCTGTGGCCCCCGAGCACATCCCACTGCCAAGGGGAGACTCCAGAGTCTCCATGAACACGCAGAGCAGCTGGCTGAGACAGCAGTGAGTGGGGGGCTGGCACTGCCAGGCAGGGGCGGGGCAGGCAGAAGAATGGGCTCTAATGCAGAGTAGAGGAGGGAAGAAGCCAGGTATTAGGAGCGCCTGGGGGAGACAGGTGTCCTGACCCTCTCCTAAGAAGTGGTCCTGGCACCCAAAAGATGAGGCTGGGACCTTTGCCAGTGTGCCAGTCTAAACGGGTGCTCAGGGTGTACTGGAGACAGAGGACCCAGCCTCGTGCAGAGAGCAGCTACCTGCAGGGGGTCTGTGCTCCCTCCGGCTCCTCTCCCGAGTGCACCTGCAGGGTCACTGGCCACCAGGGAGCAGGCAGGAGGCCAGCCTGGAGGCCAGGGATGGTGGCTAGTGTCCATGTCCAGGCCCACCGGCATGGACAGAGGGTGCCTTGGGACAGCCAGGCTGGCAGCAGGCATCCCCTCGGCCCCAGATGGACAGGCTGAGCCGGGTTCATTCTCGTCAAATTGGTTTTCTCTGATCTGGTTTGCGGGAGACCAGGAGGTGCACCCCAGGGGCAGGGGTTCCCTTCAAGGCCATCCCTGCCAGAGACCCTTTGGTGCCCTTCAGTATGAATCCTCTGCATCCCAATCAGCTAGGGTTTGGGTTTCATCAAAATCTGTGAGGTTTCAAGGGGGAGGCCCCAGAGACCCTCAAATACAAGATCCCAACCGAGCACCCCTCAGCTCCCCTGGGGCTTGGCTCTAGAGCCCAGGGTTAGACTTCCTGGGGCAGGGCTAGCGAGCTCAGCTGTGACCTGCCCCCACCCCAGGGACAGGCACGCCCTCCCACCGCCTTGTTTAAGAGGACCACGAGGTCCTAGATGGGGGGCAGGCTGCGTTCCCCCTCCTACCCTGCCAGCCTCCCCTCATGCAGGACAGGAGCCAGACAGCCAGGCTGATGGCCCCTGGAGTGCAGGTGAGGGGTTCAGAAGCCCCAGCCTGGCTCCCAAGTCCCTGTGCCCCAAGAAGCCTGGGGCTCGGATGGGGGTCCCCCAGCTGGGGTCCCGCCTTAGCAAGACTCGCTGCACCGGGGTGCCCTCTCGGACTTGGGGCCCCGGGACGCTGACCTCCCCCGGCCTGCCCGGTGCTGGGCATGAGGGGACTCTGTGGCCAGGTGGCTGGGGCTGATGAGCTGCCAGCACCCCCGGAGCCCATGGATCTCAGGGAGGTGGTCACGTCCTGGACTGTTCCCGCGGGCTGTGTCCTGGCTGATAAGGAGCTGCTTTGTGTGGCTGCCAGGCTGACCTCAGCAGGGGGGGCGGCTGGCAATTGGGGTGCAGCCTGCCAGCCGCAGATTGAGAACTGATGTCCCCTTGGCCTACCTAGGAGGGCTGGAGACACCTGCTCCTCCAGACTGGGGGCCCCAGAGAACGAGGGAGGGCAGAAGCTCCAGCTGTACTGGGCTGAAGGGCCAGTGGGGGGACCGGGGCGCCTGGCCCCTGGCTGCTGCGGCTCCTGCTCGCGTGACCCTCCCCGGCTGCCGTGAGCCGCGTGAATTATTCACAAGGGCTCAGCTCTCCGCGGCAGCCTGTGCGGCAGGGAGGACTCCCAGCGCTGCCAGCGGGAAACTCGATCCCGCCCAGGGAGGCCGCGGCCAGTGTGGCCCGGGGCGACGAGAAACTGCACAGAGCAGGAGGCTGGACGGCCTCGGCCTCGGGGAGGGTCGGCTGGTGCTGGGAGCGGCAGGAGGGACCTCTGCCCTCTTCCCCTGGCCCCGCACGCCCAGCACCTGATTGGCTGAATGAAGGAGGAGTCTGGAACCCCAGTCTTGGCTGACCCTGCCTGTAGCACCTCATGAGTGAGCCCAGATGCCCCTGTCCACGGTCCCTCTGGCGCACAGCCTCCCACCCCCACAGCTGAGCCCATTTGGGGGTCTCCGCAGAGCAGGCCACCCTCTCAGACTCCCCCCGCAGCCGGCCACCCGGCACTCTGCCTGCTCGGCCCTGCCAGCGCTGGGATGTGGAGGCCTCGGGCTTGGGGGAGCTGATGTGGGGGAGCAGCAAAGGCCATTGACACCGGCATCCTAGAAGTCACAGCAGTGGAAGGGTGGGTGGGTGTGGCACCAGGGGAGGGTCAGCTCAGCTCCACCACGCTGCAGAGAGAGCAGTAGACAAGCGCAGGCTTCCAGAATATTCCAGGCTTGCAGGTGGACTGGGTGAAGCTGGCTGTTCTAGAGCCTTCCTCAAGGCTCAGGGTGCAGGAGGCGAGGCTGGGGACTGGGAGACTAGAGCCTTCCCCTAGGAAGAAGCCCCACCCTCAGGGGCCCAGGCCCCCCGACCTCCCTCCAGGTTGCCGGGGCTGAGGCACCTGGAAGCGCTGCTGTCTGGAGTCTGGTTCCATGGGCAACAACCACAATAAGTGGGTGCCAATCAGAGCCGAGATTTCCATCAGCCCCCCCAGCCCTGCACGTCCTCTCTGCCAGAGCGACCTGCTTTATCAGTACAGGGTGCCCACGTCGTCTTTTCTCCCAAGAGCAAGAAAAAAAGGCATGGTTTAGTGATGGTGGCCGGGAGCTCAGGCCTGCAGAGACGGGTCAAGGAGGAGCCGGCCAGGTGCCTTTGCTGAGTCTAGCGGCAAGGGTGGGGTGCTCCAGGCCCGTCAGGTTCTAGCCAGGCCAGAGTGCGGCGGACAGCGAGCTGAGGGGGTGTGGAGAAAGGGCAGTTTCGAGTACAAGTGGCTTTTCATCCCGAGAAGCAGAGGCCTCCGCGGGGAGAGAGTGAGGCCTGCAGCACTCTGACCCCTGAAGGCAGGGAAGGAGCTGAACCGGCCACTGCCCAAGGCCTTTCTCTCACGGGAGGCGTGGAAAGTCCACGCGCTGCTGCCCACTGGCCATACGTGGAAACCGAGGCTCGAGGTCAAGGACTCGCACTCCCCAGCCAGAGCCTGAGAGCCAGGTGGACGCCAGGCCAGGTCAGGGCTGGGGCAGGAAGCTTTTCCTTCGCTGTCACTGCGACTAGAAGTGGGGGTTTGGAGTGGGGTGGGGTCCGGCGACCAGCTGTCCCCCAAAGCCCACCCCCCCGTAGGCAGCAGCTCCCCAAGGCAGAAGAGAGCCTGAACCTATTCGTGCTTGGGCACCCCAGGCCAGCAGCGCCCCCGGAGGCTCGAGGAGCGGAGCTCCTTACATACAGCTGGGCCGCAGACGAGCGCTCGCCCGGTATACCTGGGCCCCAGGGCCCCTCAAGGCAGGCATGAGCCGCGTTGCTTCCCTTCGAGCATGGCTTTGGGGAAACAGAGGCAACAGCCTGGCAGCTGGGGCAGGCGCTCACCCAGGTCCTTCTAGCCTCGCCCGGCCCTCCCCACGCGGCTGCCTAGGCGGCCCCCGGCACCCCCACCCCAAGAGCTGAGCCTGGCAGAGCCACTGAGTGCTCAGCAGGCTCGTCCGGCAGCTCTTCGAAGAAATGGGCCTTGGCGGAGGGACGGACAGAAGGCAGCGCACACAGCTGGGGGTGGGGACCACACGTAGACAGACCGCGCCCCAAATCTTGACTCTCCAGCTCTCACGGAGTGACCTTAGCCCTCTGTGCCCCCATTTCCTCATCTGTGGGAGGCCATCAGCGCTGGCCCCCCACACAAGGTGCTCACAGGGCCGGATGGGAGCATGTTGCTCGCAGAGCCTGGAACGGAACGCTCGCTCGGTCAGCCCGGCTGGCGCTCGGGCCGGTTAGTGTTGAGTTACTGCTGCGCCTTCCCCTCTCGCCGCCAGGTGCGTTCATTCATCTCGTGCGCACCCCTATTTTATCATTGCCCCGGTGAGCACAAGCGCACCCATCCTCCTGCCTCCAGGCCACGGCAGAAGAGGGCAGCAGGGCGGGGACCCCTTCCCACCTGGCGCCTCAGCAGCTCGGCCCCTTGTCCTGGGGTCTCCTGGGCATGCAGGGCAGAGCTGCCCCTCAGTGCCGACCAGTTGGAATCCTGACCCTGACCCTGGACCAGGGACTCAGAAGGCCCGCGCCAGTCCCTGGGACATGACTGTCCCTCCTGCTCCCGTCCTGCTCTGCGCCAGCTTCTCAGACGTGCTGGTCGCCCTGGGGTCATGGACACCTGCCAAGGGGGTGCTGGGAGGGCAGGACTCCAGGCGGAACTAGCGCCCCGACTTTCGTCCTTTGTCTTTGGCCTCCCAGAGAGAGCCCAGCGGGTCCTGGGAGGTGGTCCCCTCCGGCCCACCATCCCAGGACCCCAGTACTCGCTGTGCCTTGGTTACGGGGTGAATAATTCAGGCCACTGAGTGTCGGCCATAAAATATTAAACAGGCTGTTACTGACTCACGCATGAGGATGCGCGTGGGGGGCGCTGGGGCGTGGAGGCCAGTGGCCAGGAGCCAGGAGCTCCTGCAGAGAGGCATGTGGGCGGATCCCTGTCTGCCTTTGTGTGCGTGTCCTCAGTGTGACTCCGGCACCCTCTGACCCTGACATGGGGGCGCGGATAGGAGAGCCAGGTGTGGTCCCTGGTCCCTAAATGCATGAAGTGCCAGCAGATGGCAGCTCTGTATCGGGGAGGGGCGCCCACACCAAGGACAGGGCAGTACTGAAGTGACCTGGGATCCCAGGTAAGACCCAGGGACAGGGAGAGGTCAGCTGGGAGGTCCTAGTGGGGTGTGTGAGAGGGAGGGGCCAAGTCCTGCCAGGTTGACGGGAGGGTGGGTGAGTGGGCAGATGCAGAAGTGGGTGACCTGGTGACCAGGTTGATGGACAGACCAGAGGGCAACTGGATGGGAGAGCAAGGGAGGGCGTGTCTTTAGGGGGTGGGGCGTGTGATGGAGGACCCGGAATGCACGGATGGGGTCAGAGGAGCTGCAGAGGGCTGGTGAGCTGGTGGGACAGTCTCAGCCAGAAACTTCTTAGGCTGAGGTGGTGCTGGCAGGCCCCTGGGCCTGGGTCATGGCTCCCCCTGGTGCCCGGCTCTGGTAACTGCACTCTGGGCTGTGGCACCCATGGTAGTCAGAAAAAATGAGGTTAGCTCCCTGTGCCCCAGCAAAGCCCCACCTCAGGGGGGCTAGGTCCCCGTTCCTAGTTGGGACCCCCTTGGGGAGTGGAGAGCCATGACAGCTGCAAAGTGGGCTCCAGGGAGTGTCCAGGAGTGAAGAGATGGAGTGACCCTTCCTCCATGCTGTCTTCAGATAATGTTCTAGTGTAAGTATCTCTCATGAGGGTTTGGATATACTGTGAATTCAGACATTACCTGAGCATCCTGTGTTTGATCTGGCAGCCAGTCCTACCATGCTGCCATCTAGGAGCTCAGTCTTTTTGTAAAATTTTTTAATGCATACAAGAGCTGGGGTGCAGGCCAGAGGTCTAGGGGGTGAGAGGATCCAGAGACAGCGGGGAACAGAACAGGTGGATCTACTGAAATCCACTGCTGAGGGGAGCAGCGGGCGAGTCAGGAGAGGTCTGCTGCGCCATGTGGGTCATTTCCCTGGCCGGGGATTGAACTCAGGCCGCAGTGGCTATAGATAGCTTCACAGTGCTGCGTCTTAACCCCTTGTGCCAGGGAGGCCTCCTGGGAGCTCAGTCTTCTGGGAGCAGCAGAGCCCAAATCAGTCATGGTGGACCAAGCCTGAGGCAGTCTGGAGCAGGCCCAGGGAGTACGGGGCAAAGAGGCAGGAAAGGCCTGGGCAAATCAGAACCGAGTCTTAGGGAGGGAGGGGCAGGCCAGAGGGAGAGGGGAGGACATGAGCAAAGTCACAGAAGTCAGACAAGTTGGGGGGTGCACAGTGACAGTGACCATGTGGCTGAAAATGTCAGGCGAGGGCAGGCCATTCTCCGCTGCAGACCGTGGAAAGGCCGGCTAGTTATTCCGTCAGACCTGCACTGTAGGCAGGAGACTGGGCTGGGGTAACTGGGTGTGTGGGGGGGGACAGCCCCGGGAGGCTGGCTGCTGACTGAGAGTCAGAGGGAGTCAGGTTGGGGGCCGTGACTAGCCCCCTTCTCAGCCCTCCAGAGCTCCCTAGAGGGGGCGCGAGAGACGGAGAGGACTTGGAGGGGGCAGTGGCCGAAAGCCGCGATGTGCTCTGTCTCTGCAGGGGGGTAAATGCCCAAACCAAGAATGGTGCCACGCCCCTGTACCTGGCTTGCCAGGAGGGCCACCTGGAGGTGACGCAGCACCTGGTGCAGGAGTGCGGCGCCGACCCGCACGCGCGCGCCCACGACGGCATGACCCCGCTGCACGCGGCGGCGCAGATGGGCCACAGCCCGGTCATCGTGTGGCTGGTGAGTTGGGGACAGGTGGGGGGGGCCGGCGGGGGCAGGAGCGGCCTGCGCCCAGCCCCCGCCCCTTCCCACCCCTTCCGCCAGGTGAGCTGCACCGACGTGAGCCTGTCGGAGCAGGACAAGGACGGCGCCACGGCCATGCATTTCGCGGCGAGCCGCGGCCACGCCAAGGTGCTCAGCTGGCTGCTGCTGCACGGCGGCGAGATCGCGGCCGACCTGTGGGGCGGCACCCCGCTGCACGACGCCGCGGAGAACGGGGAGCTGGAGGTGAGGCGGGGGAGGGGGGGCGGGCACCCCCAGGCTGGGCGCTGCGGGCCCAGGTCCGCCCCATGGGGACCACGGCGGCCCGGGGTCCTCACGGCGCGCCCCGCAGTGCTGCCAGATCCTGGTCGTGAACGGCGCGGAGCTGGACCTGCGCGACCGCGACGGCTACACGGCGGCCGACCTCGCCGACTACAACGGCCACAGCCACTGCACCCGCTACCTGCGCACCGTGGAGAGCCTGGTATGACCCCGCGCACCCCCCACCCCCGGGCTGGACGCGGTCACCCCGCGGGCCACCCGAGGGCCTCAGGAGCTCCCAGCGGGGGCCACCGCCCACTAGGGGCCCGGGTGGAGAAGGCGGCGGGAGGGAGCAGCCCAGCCCAGAGTAGCAAGGTTGGGAGAAATCACAGGACACCTACAGACCTCGGAACCCCACCCCCACACACTAGTCCACTGAGGTAGGTGGGTCCGACCTCACAGGTGGGTGAACTGAGTCTTGGGGAGACCCGAGGCCCCCCGGCTGTTAGGGGGAGCGGAGCAGCTGTGCCATGGCTCAGTTGCAGCTCCTCTTAAACTGGCTCTGTTGTGTGACACAGCCGTGCCCTGGGGACGTGGGCTCAGGTGTGGGTGGCTCTCAGCCGGGCAGCGTGGCAGGTGCAAGGCCTGCTCCGGGGCAGGAGGGAGGGGCAGGGTGGGCCTCATGGGTGGCTTCGGAAGGGCCCTGGCTGGCTCCAGGGCAGCCTGGCTGTGGGAGGGGCTGCAGAAAGGCCTGGAGCAGAGGAGGCTGCACATGCCCCTGCCCAGAGCCCTTCCTGCCAGCAATGGGGGCACCCTGGTTCTGGGCCTCCAGAGTCAGCAAGGCCCGGGTCAGAGACTGCAGCTGGACCCGAGGAAGAATCCCCCCCGAGAAAGGGCCACACAGAGAGCGCAGGGAGCACCCTGTTCCCAGTGTCTACAATGAAGGGGTCCTCCATGGACGAGCGGGTTCCTCCAGCTGACACTGTAACTCCCTTGCACGGTGGGGAGGGGGTGGCACACTGCTTGCACCCCCTCACGCCCCCCGACTGTGGCTGCGGCTGACAATAAGCAATCATTTCTTGCCTTTTGAAGCTGGCAGGTCCCGTGCCCAGGGCCTTATGGTATCATCTCACTTAATCTTCACAGTAAATTACCGTCGCTAGTTGACACGGATGTCATTTATTGTGTACCACGCTGACACTTCGCTCACTTGTGAAATCCTTTTCACAACCTAGTGGGGGGAGCAGGGCTGTCACCCCAACTGACAGACGAGGAAACCCAGGTACATTGGAAGGATCAGTGGCTTAGCCAAGGTCATGCAGCTAATGAGCCGGGGAGGTGAAATTTGGAGCCAGCAACCCAAGCTCCAGAGCCGTGCCCCTAACCTGTCGTCCCTGGGGTCAAGACTGGGTCCCCCAGCACCCGCGATTGCCTGCCGAGAAAGGAGCCTCTTCGTTGCACCCCCAAAGCCCAGCTCCTATGGGCGAGGGGGTAGGTAGCAGGGCCTGGCCCGCCTGCACGGGGTGGTGAGTGAGCACCCTGGCCCCTCACCCGGCGGGCCCAGCTGTGGCTGACAGATCCCAGCCACAGAGGACGCTGGCCCAGAAACGGCAAACACTCCCGCAGGCCCCTAATTACAGGGCCAATGAGCGAGGCGGCTGAGCCGTTACTTGGTGCCAGACCGGCCTCCTGCTCCCGGGGGGCCTGTGACACTTCTCAGGCAGGGAGGGGGCCCGGGGCAGAGGAGCAGGCCTGGGCAGGAGGCAGCGCGGAGCGGGCTTGCGGCAGCAGGGCCGGCATGGGCAACGTAAGCGGGGCCCCCACCCCGGCACTCTCCATGCCGGGAGGGCCGGGCCCACGGGCTCGGGGCCGGCGGCGCGGGGGCGGTCGGCTGGGCGGCCTGACCTCGGAGGTCCTCCTCCGGCCGAGCCGGGCCACCCCCGGCCCCGCCCTTTCCCGAGGGTCCCGTCAGATCGGGCTGGGCTGGTGCCGGGATATGCCCCGGGCAGGCAGGGAGGCTGGGGTGCTGGCCAGGTAATGGGGGCACCTGTCTTTCCTGCAGGTGGTCGGGCCCTGCGCCCCTCCCCCATCCCAGCCACAGCACCCAGGCCCCCTCCCCAGGCACACGGAGCCCAGGCCCTCTGCCCTCATGAGGAAGCGGGTGCCGGTGCCGCGGGCCAGGCCCCCTCCCTCTCCGTGGGTCTCTCAACCCTCTGAGCCAGGAGGGCCGCGGCTGGGGCTGTCCCCGGAGCCCGAGGTCCTGCGGCTGAGGGGCCCGGCTGGAGTCTAAGCCCCGGGGAGCCTGAGAAAGGGCAGCGGCTTGGCTGGGGTCCCGCAGCCACGGGGGGCGGGCTGTGCTCACGGCGCCCCCTCCCTGCCCAGAGCGTGGAGCACCGCGTGCTGTCCCGGGACCCATCCGCGGAGCTGGAGGCCAAGCAGCCGGACTCGGGCATGTCCTCGCCCAACACCACTGTGTCGGCGCAGCCGCCCCACTTCGACCTCAGCTCACCCGCCAGCACCCTCTCCAACTACGACTCGTGCTCTTCCGGCCACTCCAGCATCAAGGGCCGGCGCCCCCCGCGTGGTGAGTGGGCCGGGGAGGGGTGGGGGAGGGCAGAGCGGAGGCAGGGCCCCGGCCCCCGGCCCCGGCCACTCTGCCCACAGCGGACACCGGAGCTGCCCGGGTCACAGAAGGGGATGCTGGCTCTCGTCCCTGACGGGTGACACGCTGTGTGCCCGTCACGCACATCCCCGCATCCCACGTGCTCCACAGGCACCCACACGCTCACACATGCCTCCCCAAACACGCAAGTGCCAACCTGTCTGTGTGTACACATGACACGTGGACCGGACGGCTGGAGCCACGCAGGTGCGCGCGCCACGCACGGCACACAGCTCCACTAACACACGCCGGGACGCCCGCCCCATGTCCCCAGACCTGTGCAAACATGCACACAGAAGCATGTGCACACACCCATGACACACACGAATGCACACTCAGGCAGAAAGCGGGCGCACACGTGCATACACACTGGCCCGGCCCGGAACTGGGGTGCCCGTCCTCCTGTGATGCCTCCGTCGTGCCAGCAGGTGGTGGCCTGCAGAGCTGGCCGGGCAAAGATCGGGCGTGGCCGCCCATCTTCCTGCCACCCAGCCTTGCCCGACCTGCCCTGCGGAGCTGCCCCTCCGCCCTCCAGGTAGCCTCTTCCGTGGGCACACCCTGGAGCCCAGGGCCCCTGCCCCTCCCTCCAAGCCTGCGTGTGTTCTCCCCCATGCCCTAGCAGTGCAGGGCTGGGGGAGGGGACCCAGCGTGGCCGGCCCACTGACTGGCCAAGGCAAGCGCACCCCTGAGCGCCCCTCGGCCAGGTGTTCCGGGTAGCAGAGGCTCGTCCCAGCCCTAGGGGACAGCCTGGGCGAGCTCCCCCCAGCCTTCCCTCCCTGCCTGCCCAGGGTTGGCCAGTGCCAGAGCCACAGACATGGAGAGCTACATGGACATGCTGAGCCCCGAGCTGGGCCTGCCCCAGGACAAGACGGAGAGAACCCCACTCCCACCACCGCCCAGCTTCCCTCCACCGCCCCTCCCCCTGGCACCCAAGTGCCCCCACCCCCGCCAGGTTATCCAGCTCCCAAGCCCCCCCGGGGGCTGCCCGCCGCTGACATCTACATGCAGACCAAGAACAAGCTCCGCCATGTGGAGATCGAGACCTTCAGGAAGGAGGTAGCGTGCCCGCGCCTGCTCACCTCCCTCCAGCGCTGGTCCTGGGTGCTGGGGGCACCTGGTTGGGGGCACAGGCCTGCAGCATTCCCTAGCCAGTGGAGGTTCGAGAGCCACCCCCCAGGCCCACTCCATGGGGCTCAGGGCTGGGCCTTGGGGTCACGGACATGAGTAGACAAAGTCACCATCCTCTGGGGACTTGGGCGCAAAAGGGGTAGAGGAACAGCTACCCAGAGCCATGCCCTCATGAGCTCTGTGGCCATGGCCGCATCTTGCACAGCATGTCAGGGAGGCCGTGGGTCGGCAGGGAATCTGTGCAAGAGGCCTCCTCCCTGTGGGAGGCGCGGGTGTGTGATTGTGACAGTGGGGACCAGGAGAGAAAGCTCCAGCGGGCCTTGGCACCGTTGGCAGTGGGTGCTGGGGTGGGGACACAGAGGTCGCCTCGCCAGTTGAACTGGGCTGTAGGGTGGGGGTGCTGGGAGGGCAGTCCTGAGCTGGGGACACAGGGGCGCTGGGCAGCCCGGCAGGACAAGGCTGGGCTGAGAGGTAGGGGCGGCCCAAGACCTAAGGTGGCTGCGGGTGGAGGCCCTTGGGTCCTGTGGGCAGGGGAGGCTGAGGTCAGCCCCAAGGAAGTGGCTCCAGGGCCCGCAGAACGAGCATCCAGTGGCCAGGTCACAAGGCCACTGGGCAGGGAGGGCACCGACAGACTCCACAGCGATTCACCCTCCCTCCTTCACGCCACCTCGGACCAAGCTTGGACCAAGCTTTCAGTGGGTTCCCCTTTCGTCTCTAGGGGGCCCAAGGGAGGCCTGCTGGGGGCCTAAGACGCAGCTCTCCTTGCCAGATGGGGGGGGTCCTGCCCAAAGCCGGCCCCCTCCCCCTGCAGAGCCCGGGCCTCGGCCCAGGCCCCTCCGCCCAGCCTTCCCGGGGTGGTGAGCCCACAGGGCCCCGCGCAGCCAAGGGCTCTTTGTGCAGGACGCGCAGTTGCTGGACTGCCTCGGGAGCAGGGTCGCCGCACCCACGCCTGGGGGCTGCAGGGGACGCTGAGGGGGCGAGTTGGCCAGAAAACAAATCCCGGGGTGTCGTGTTTCCTGCAACAGGAGCCTGGCCCGGTGGGGCATGGAGGGTCCGGGGCCACCGCCCGGACGCCCGCTCTGGGGGTGGGCAGGAGACAGCCCCCGCGGGGTGACCCGGCCTTTGCCCCTGTGCCCCAAGTGCTTCTCAGGAGCTGCGAGGGGAGGTGGGCGTGGGGGGAGCTCAGCGTCACGACAGGGCGGGCTGCTGCTGTCACCTGAGCCCGCGCGGCCCCTGAAACCCGAGGCTCGGGCGCGGGTGGCGGTGTCGCTTACCCGGAGACCGATGGTTTCCAGATGCAGGGGAAGGGCGGGGGCGTGACCCGGAGCCAGGGGGGCCAAATGGGGGGGTTCCACTGCTCGCCATCAGACCTGAAATCTGCCTTCCGCGGCTGGGGGGCATGAGTGGAGGGACAGCAGTGGGGGCGCCGAGCACCTGGGAAGGGACAGAGGCGCAGGGGCGGGCCACATCTGGCCCGAGGGCCAGGGCCGTGCAGCGGGCAGGTGTGGCAGCCCAGGCACCCGGTGGCATCCCCGACGGGCGGGGGCGGGCGGGGCGGGGGCTGAGCGCGGGATTGGCAGGCCCTGGGTGATGTCAGGCCGAGGAGCTCATAGGCGCGGGCCGGCTCGGGCTGGGCGGTAACCGGAGAGGGAGGATCGGGTGGCGCAGGTGTCGGGTCCCTGCCGCCCCCGCCGCCAGGTGCACAGCGGGGGCCTCCGGCACAGTCGCAGGTAGGAGCAGCCCCGGCCCGGGCAGGCCGGCGGAGGGCCCTGGGCAAGGACACGGGCGCAGAGAGGGCTCCCTCGGGACCGGAACCCCCGCAAGAGAGGGGTCGGCGGAGCCTTGGGGATGGTCTGGCTGTCGGGAGTGGGGTGTGGCTGAGGCCTGAGATCTGGCTAAACTGGGCGCTGCCCCTTCTCCGGCTCCCCTGGCGTCTGGACCGGCCACCCCGCCCCTGGGCCCGCCCCTTCGAGCCTCAGCGAGGGCCCCTGTGCCCCCTGGCGCGCACCCAGAAACCCTCTCCGTGGGGTGACCCAACCTGCCCTTACATCGAGGCCCCCAGGCCCTCCTCCCATCCCCGCTGAGAGCAGGAGGGTCTGGGAGTGCAGCTGAGCGCGAGACCCGGGAAGGTGGCGGGCGTGGGGCCCATGGGGACCGCTGTCTGAACCCACTCTTCTCCCCAGCCAAGGTCCCGCGACGGCCACAACGGGCTGCGGAGGCAGGACTCTGGCCGCAAGCCCCGCGCCTTCAACAAGCAGCCCAGCACGGGGGACTACTACCGCCAGCTGGGCCGCTGTCCGGGGGACCCGCCGGCCCGCCGCCCGGGCATGGCGCACAGCGAGGAGGTGCGTGCCCGCCAGCCCGCGCCCGCCTGCCGCCCCGGCCCCGGCCGAGCCACCCGCCCCTCACTTGCCGGCCCCTCCGCTCCCCCGCAGGCGGCGCTGCTCCCTGGAAGCCACGTGCACAACGGCTGCGCGGGGACCCCAAGGCGTCCAGGGAGCTGCCCCCGCCGCCACCGCCACGCCCCTGCCCGAGGCCCTGAGCTCGCCGCCACCTGCTCCGCCTCTGCCCTTCGAGGGCGCGGGCCCTGGCTGCGGGCAGCGTCGCTCCTCCTCGTCCACTGGCAGTGAGTCGTGGGTTGAGGGGTGGGGGGCGGCGCTAGCCCCGGAAAGGGGGGGAAATGGAAACACGCCCCCCCAGCTGTGACTGCCCCAGCGCTTCCTCTTCTACTTGTTCTTTCTGCCGGCCCCCACCCCAGCGGCCAGAGGGAGGGTGTGGGATTCTACAGTTCTGCCAGAACAGGGTGGGGCTGTGTGACCTTAGGGGAGTCCCCCGGCCTGGCTGGACTCCCAGCGGCTGGAGTTTCTGACGAGCTGGTGCCTGAGGGGGCGCTGGGATGACCTCGGGGCTGCTGGTCAACCTTATGTGCCCCGTATCTACGCTGAGTTCTTCTCCCCTGCCTCACCTCTTTCTTGTATGGCCAAGGCAGCTGTAGCCGTGAGGCCCCCTCAGGTGCACTAGGGACACAAACTAGCCAGATCTCCCCAGGGGCCAGGACCTGGCTGTGGGAGCAAGGCCAGTGACCCTTCATGCCCTCCACATCCCTTGCTGGTGACTCCTGGGCATCTCTTTAAAGGAGCTAGACTGGGGACCAGGGTCTCTGGGCTTCCTTTTGTAAGCAGGAGCTGAGATCCAGGCAGATTTCCTGCAGGAGGGGTGCTGGTTGCTGAGGCTCTCGCCCCAGCCAGGACATGGGGTGCGCTGCCGTCCCCCCTCGGCCACCGCACTCAGTGCAGGGACAGGCTGCGCGGCACCATTCAAAGCTTCATCTAGGAGAGCAGGGTGCAGTAGAGCCAGCCTGGGCTCCCTGGGGCCCCTGTGGGGTCCCACCCACTGCCAACCAGAGCCCAAGGTAGCCTAGCCCCCCACTGAGCCTCCCAGAAAGCCTCCCCTCCCCCCGCCCCCGGCTCTGGGGTCAGCTGCTCCTCTCAGCAACCTGCAGCCAGGCTGAAGCAAGGGCAGAAAGGCTTCTCCAGGCCCACTGTCCGCAGGCCTGGGCCGGCTGCCCGATCCCGACCCAATGCCAAGACTGAGGCCCTTGCTTAGGGGCCAGGGTCAGCAGCAGCCCTGTTGGGCTCTCGGGGGCACTGACCAGGCTGGGAACTGGGCAGACCACCCCTGTGGAGCCCCAGGGCAGCCAGAGCCAGGGTCAAGTGGGCCGGGAAGTTCCTCCTGTCTCTCGCCTGCGCGCTTCTCCCTCCCCTCCTCCTGCCCTCCCCGACGGACGGACAGACAGACAGCCCCTCTTCCACTGCCCCTGCTGCCCTAGTCTCGCCCTGTCCCCCTCCTCCTCCTAACTTCGCTGTCACTTCTCTTCTCGGTCCTAGAAGTGAGAGTCCTGAGGCACAGGAAGAGTGAGTAGCTGTGCGTGCGTGCGTGGCTCTTGGCTGAGGCGTGGGGCGGAGAACAAGATGCGCTGAGGAAAGGGAGACGGGGTGGGGTCCCGAACTGAAGGAAGGGCACGGCCGGGGCGGGCAGGCAAGGGGTCCCAGATGTCTCGGCACTGGCTCCTGCCCCCCCCACCCTCGCATCCCGCACGCCTCCACGCAAGCGCCGCAGTCTGTGCGCAGCGGATGGTTTCGCCCAAATAAATGCCCCATCACCAGGGCCTGCCAGCCCCTTGCCCCTCCGCCTCTCTTGCTGCTCTGCTCTAGGAGCCCCCCTGGGAATCCGAGCCGCTGGCCGGTTTCGCTCCCCTGGCCCATCCCGGAACACTTCCCGGGCTCTCCAGAGAACCCTCCAGACCTCAGTCGCCGCCACCTCCAGTGGCACATGCAAACAGCGCTCCGGGCATTTGCATGATATCCGCCTGGCGCTTCCTGGGTACCCTCACCCCATGTTCTGAGCAAGGGTTCCGCTTCCCCGCGCCCCGCCCCCCGGCACGGAGCAGGCTTTGCCATAAGTGTGCTGGGGCTCGAGGCCAGTGTGACTGCTCGCGCCCCTACCGCCTGTCGCCTGTCTCTGGGTGTGGGGGCGGGGCCCGCGGGGCTCTGGCGTCCGGGGCCGAGTCCTGTAGACCAGAGGCCGGAAGACCGCAGGTGACTCAGTCCAAGGTTCACTGGCCTTTGCTGATGCGGCGAGAGGGCCCGGGGAGACTCCACCCCGCAGGGCAGAGCCAGGGAGGCCAGGACAAAGGTCGCGTGCCCGCCCCGGCTAGCGCTCTGGAGCTGGCTGGTCCGTGCGCAGGGCGGAGACACTCGCTAGAGTCCCCAGGGTCGGCCCAGCAGCCGCCATGAACTCTCAGGGGCCCCCAGGTGGGGGCCCCACTCCCCGTGAGTAGGACGGGGAGAATGTGGGGCCGCAGCCGGCTGGAGCAGAAGACAGCCTCGGGTAGCTGAGACCCGGCCCGGGGCCCTGAGGACGCCCTCGCCGCCTAAGGGAAGGCCCCCTCGTCGCCAGAGCTGACTTGGGAGGGGGTGGCAGCGGGGCTGGCGGTGGGGGCGGCGGGGATGAGGTCCCCACCGCCGGCCAGCGCCTCCTCTCCTGCTTCCCGGCAGGCACCAAGTCTTTCAACATGATGTCCCCGACGGGTGACAACTCCGAGCTCCTGGCTGAGATCAAGGCGGGCAAGAGCCTCAAGCCGACGCCGCAGAGCAAGGGGCTGACCACGGTGTTCTCGGGCAGCGGGCATCCGGCCTCCCAGGTAACCGGCCCTGCGGGCGCCCCTCTCCCGGCTCCCCTGAGCCCCGCCCGCCCCACGCTCAGCCCTGCCGTGTCTCCCCACAGCCTGACTCGCCGGTGCCGCCAGCATCGCCTGCCCCATCGCGGGCCCGGAGCCCCACCCCGCCACCCACAGGGCCCCAGCCCCTGCTCAACGGCAGCCTGGCCCCCGCGCCACCCGCCAGCCCCGCTCCGGGCGTGCAGCTGGACGTGGACGCGCTCATCCCCAAGCACGACGAGCAGGGCCGGCCGATCCCCGAGTGGAAGCGGCAGGTGATGGTGCGCAAGATGCAGATGAAGATGCAGGAGGAGGAGGAGCAGAGGCAGAAGGTGGGCGGCGTGGAGCATCTCAGAGGGCCCCAGGGACTGCATCTGGGCCCCCAGCCCACCCCCCACAGCACCCCAAACCTGCCCCGGTCCTTCAGCCTCGGGCGGCTCCCGCCTCCTCTGGGGGGAAAGCAGGGTTGGCTGCGCTCCCCTCGCCGGGGGCTGCCCCCGCTGTCCACTCCCACCCCAGGCAGCAGGTCCCGCGGTGAGATGACCAAGTTGTCAAGCGCAAATGTACGCTCAGGTCGCTCAGATCGCCTGGGACCGAGTAAACAAACACACCGAACCACAACACGAAAGTCTGCTGATTCGGGAGCTGTGGCGGGGCTGACTCTGCACATGCACCCGCTGCTGGGTGAGGCTGGCAGGCTGGCCGGGGACCACAGGCTGAGCGGCCTGCAGGACCTGGATTCCTGTCCCGCACGGCCACTTGCCAGACTCTGACACCAAGCCCGCCTGCCCCCACCCCACCCCCTCAGACGGGCTCATCATCACAGGCTGGCAGAGGGGTTTGCCCTGGGCTCATTCGCCCGCCCTGCTCTGAGTACGGTCTGTGCCCAACACTGTGGCCCCGGGGGTTGGTGGCGACGATATCGGGGGCTGCTCTCAAGGTGCAGGGGGGCAGAGAATGACCAAACACAGCACCTTAGGAGAGGAGGGGCCCCCAAAGAATTGGGCTGTTCCAATTCGGGCAGCATGCTTATGATGGGGGGACAGCGGCCCGGGGCTGAGCGGCGGCGTCAGGGAAGGACTGGCAGGATGCGCCGCGGGAGCACACGGGGCAGAGCCAGCGCGGGACGGGAGGTCGCCTGAGTGGGGCTCTGGGCGGTTCTTACTATGGGCGGGTGGAGCCGGGGCGGTCAGTGAGGGTCGGGTCACCAAGGCCTGGCCAGTTGTCTGGAGGAAAACGGACATGGGCTTCTGCTGGAGCAGTGGGGGGCCTGGCGGGCAGTGGGGACATTGCATCGTCACCCCTGTATGGGGGGAACCGGTGGTAGAGGGTCAGGATGAACTGAGAGGCTGTGAGGAGGTGAGGGCAGCCCCAGCCAGGGGGGAAGCCTGGCACGAAAGCAGACCAGGGGTGGAGAAAGCGAGGGGTAAGCGGGAGCACAAGCGCCCCCGACAAGTCTGGTTCTTTAAACTGTATTACTGTTTTTCCAGGGGTGCTAGGGGTGGGCACTGACCTGTCACAGGGCCCCTCGGCACACACTAAGCTGACACATGGAAGCGGGTGGGGCGGGGAGCTGGAGGCAGGGTCTGCCTCTGCTGCTGCTCTGGCCCCTAGTGGGCAGGCGCTGGCCGGGGCGGGAGAGGGCCCAGGGGCGCGGCAGCTGCAGTGCCTTCTGCACGATCCTTGGGTGGTGTAATGAGCGACCAAGCCCCGTGTGGAGACAGTCTGCCCGCCCTGCCTCTCCAGCAGCTCCCAACCGCTGCGGTGTCCCTGCCAGCGACCCAAGTGGACACTGCCCAGCGCCCGGAACCGGGCCGAAGTCTAGTTTCATCGAAAGCGCCCGCCAGCCAGGCGCGGCTCCTCCCTGCAAAGCCGCCTCCCGGAGCCATTACACCACCCAGGATATGCAAAGGGCGCCCAGGCGGAGCCGGGCCAGAGGGAGACGCACCGCCCCCCCTCTCTTGTCTCCCCGCCTTAGCTGACGGCCGCCGGCGCCTGCTGCTACCCGCGCGAGGGCTGGAGGTACTCCCGCGAGCACAACGCCGTCCTCGGGCCCTTCGGCGAGCTCATGACCGAGGCCGACGTCCTCCGCATCGAGCAGCAAATCGACAACCTGCAGGTGCTGCACAAGGCGCAGAGGCTGGAGGCGCGCCTGGAGCAGCTGGAGCTGGAGCTGGAGCAGCTGCTGCCCCTCTCGGCCGCCCTGTCGGCCCCGCGCTTCACCGTCGACCCGCGCCGCATGCACGGCCGCGCCCCCAGCCTGCCCGCCTGGTGCAGCAAGATCTCCACGCTGCTCAAGAGCATGGCCACGCTGCTGGCCGCCCTGGGCGGCCGGCCCGCGCACCTGGCCGAGCTGCTGGCGGCCGACACGGGCCAGCCGCTGGCGCCGCTGTCCGACGCGCCCTCGCGGCCCGGGCCGCTCTGCCTGGGCCGCTCGCACTCGCTCAGCTGGTGCCGCGAGGCCGTGGCGCGCGAGATCCTGGACTGCGGCGTCTCCGTGCGGCACCTGCGCGCCGCCTACGAGCAGCGCGCCGGGGCTCGGCGCCCGCGCGCCGCCCGCGCCGCCGGCCCTCCCTGTCCGCCGGCGCCCGGGCCGCGAGCCCATCCTCGAGGAGGATTACCTGGAGGATTCCCTGGAGGATTCCCCGGCGGCCGGCGTCGCCAACGGCCCGCCCGAGGCCTCGGACAGCCCGGCGGCGCGGCCCCAGCCGGCGCCCGGGTCTGCGCTCCCCGGCGAGCCGCGCCTCGGCGGCGCGCAGGACTACGCGGACCTGCGCAAGGAGCGCATCGTCTACCTGTTCCTGCAGCACTGGCGCAGGTGGACCTTCCCCGGCCCGGGGCCCCGCGCCCAGGCGCGCCTGCGCAGGCTGCTGCCCCGCCTGGCGGCCGCGGGCGCGGTCCCCGACCCCGAGGCGGCCCGGGCCCCCCAGCCTCCCGCGGGCCAGGGCCCGGACCAGCGGCTGCGGCGCCTGCTGGAGCAGCGCCAGGCGGTGGGCCGGCTGCTGGGCCGCTGGCGGGGCCTGCTGCGGCGGGTGCCCGCGCGCCAGCCTCGCGGCCCGGGCCTGGCGCACGGCCTGTACTGGCCGCAGCACTTCCTGCCGCCCCTCGACGGCGGCGCGCCCCGGAGCTACGACAGCCTCTCGCTGGACCTCTTCATGCTCGGCTACTTCCAGCTGCTCGAGATGGGCCTGAGCCGCGAGGAGCGCAGGTTCCGCCACCTGCTGTGCTATGAGATGTTCGACCGGCTGGGCAGCCACCCCTGGGCGCGCATCCGCCGCTTCCACCGCGCGGTGCTGGAGGAGGTGGAGGCCGGCCGGCGCCGCTGGAGCCACGGCTTCGAGGACCTCAGGCGGCAGTTCTTCGGAGACGGCGCGGAAGCTGAGCCCGCCGGGGAAGACGAGGCGGGGAAGGCGCCAGAAGGGGCGCGGGAGCCGGCCCGAGAGGCGGCACCAGCTCTGCAGGAGGCCCCAGTCCCCGCGCCGCAGCCCCCGCCCGCCCCCGCGCCCCCGCCGGCCGCCCCGCCCCCGCCCGCGGATCCCCCAGGGTCCGAAGACCCCTTGGCCGACGCTGAAGACCCCCTGGAGCTGGTCTCCGACATGGGCGAGTTCAGCAACGAGCTGGTCTGCCGCTTCATCGACCGCAGCTTCTCCTTCTGGAAGGAGAAGGAGGCAGAACTCTTTGACACCTGAGCAGCGGGACTGGGAGATTACCTTGGAGCTTCGTAACCTGCTCGGGATGCCTGTCTGATGCCCACCAGCGGCCAGAAACTGGCAGGAAGGAGCCAGGATGGTGGCCCTGGAAAACCAGAGCGCCCAGGACCGGGCTGCCTCGACCTTTGAGGTCCCATCCAGGCTGGATGTGGGGTGTTGCCCCCCTAGGCAGGCCACGCACAGGGCAAAGCAGGGCCCTCTGCCTGACCCTCCAGGCTTCCCGGGCTCCGTGTGCAGCCAGGTGGAAGAGCCGGCCCCCTTGAGAGAGGGACTGTGGGTCCCCCTTGGGGCAGCGTGGCTTTCCGTTTTCACTAGAGCTCGCAGCTGCCTCTTTGGCTGAGGTGCCGGGCGGCGCGCGGGCATGTGGTGTCCGTGTGACGGCGTGTGCAGACCCTTTCTCCTCTGTAACAAGCAATAAAACACTTTGCCCTCATCTGTGTTGGGTGCACCCTCCAAAAGTCATTGCTGCCGAGAGCTGGGGTCTGCTCCATTTGGGAACAGGGCAGGCATGGGCCAGCGGGGCCTTCACAGTAGAACTGGAGCTGGGGCTGGGGGGCACTGGCAGGGCCTGCAGAAGCCAACTTGAGGCTACCCGGTCATTCTGGGTCACAGGCCTGGGGCCACCTGTGCAGCCGCCCCTGTGGGGAATCTCATTCTCTGCCCCTTCTCACGCTTATTCAGCTCTTTGGCCTGGCCCCTAGGACACGGGGCCCTGAGTTGTTGGGGTTGCAGATTGGACAGGAGGTTGGATGCAGGCATCTTCGTCCATTTGCCCTATAGCAGGGCACCCAACATCTCTTCCTGTGACCCCACCATGTCCCATTGTTCCTGACTCCAGCAAGTCCCCGGGTTGAGGTGCATCCCTTCTGGCCCTGCCAGCCCTGAAGCTTTGTGCCTGTGTTTCAGGAGGAGGAGGAGGAAGCCCGGCTGGCCAGCATGCCTGCCTGGAGGCGGGACATCCTGCGGAAGAAGCTGGAGGAGGAGAGGTGAGCTGAGGGCCCAGGAGAGGTGGGACCAGGCAGCGGGACTTGATGGTGACCCAGAGGCGGGGGCACCTGCTAATGCTGTCTCTTTTCCCTTCCAGGGAGCAGAAGCGGTGAGTGTGGGGCTGGCCTGACTTGCCTTCCTCTCCCCCCAGCCAGTCACAAACCAGTCACCCCACTTGCCTCTTTATTCAGCCTCCTTTTGAGTGCCGCCCCTCATCACTCAACCCTGTAGCACAACCTCCCCGCTCCTAGTAATGCCACCGGACCCCTCTCCCCCAGTAACTTTGCCCTGTCCCCGAAAGCCTTGCTCTGTGCCCTGCTAACCTTGTCCCCAATTACCCAGCTCTCCTCTCCCACTAGCCTAGCCGTGCTGCCCTGCAGTTCAACCCAACCTCAGTATCAGTAACTCAGATCATCTATCCCTCAAAACTTAGTCTCTGCCCCCCAGTAATCTGTCCTATAGAAATGTAATTCGAGCTACACGAGTAATGTTAAATTTTCTAGTAATCCCATTGGAAAAAAGATATAGGTGAACTTAATTATAATAGTGTAACATGATACAGCCGTAGAAATAATGTTTCAATACGTAATCAATATGTCATGAATACATAACCAATTTAATTATTGAAGATGTCCTGATACTGCAAATGCTCAACAGCCACGTGTGCTCTGTGGCTGCGTGGCCAGCATGTCTGACCCCTGTCTTCTCATAACCTGTCCCTAACTAGCAGCCGCCAGCTCCCCAAAACATGGTCTCCCTGCTCCCCAGCAGCCTAATCCCAGTCCCCAGGAACTCAGGTCCTACTCATCCCTCCGTCCCTGCCCCATAACACCCTCTGCCCCTCCATGACCCGCCCGCTGCTTCCAAGAACAACCCCGCCACCAGCCGCGGCCTCTCCCCGGGCCTGTGTGCGCTCCGGGAGCCCCAACCCCATCAAGCTGTGCCCGCAGTCCTGTCCGTGCGCCCCCTCGTCCCCAGAAACCCACCGACCCTAGAACCCGCTGCCTGAGCCGATTAACCCCCCGCCCTCAGCAGACGGCCCCTGCCCGTAGCAACCCCCTCCTTGCCGCGGGTGACCCCTCCTGCCAGGGCCGCCCACTCACCCTGCCCCGCCCATGCCCACCCCACGCCCATGCCCTTGCCCACGCCCTTGCCCACGCCCAGGAAAGAGGAGGAGCGGCAGAAGCAGGAGGAGATGCAGCGGGAGAAGGAGCAGTCGGAGAAGCTGCGGACGCTGGGCTACGACGAGACCAAGCTGGCGCCCTGGCAGCGGCAGATCATCCTGAAGAAGGGGGACATCGCTAAGTACTAGCCGCGCCCCCGCGCCAGCGCGAGCTCGGGGCGGCCCGGGAGCCGCCCCCGCCCGCCCCGGCCTGCGCGCCCCGGCGGGGGCTGGAGCCGCCGCCCTCCCCTCCCGCGCGGCCCCCCCCGCGCCCCGCCCCCCCGCCCGGGCCCCGCGGGAGCACCCCGAAGACGCGCCCGAGCTGCCGCCGCCCGCTGCTCATTTGCATGCTCATTTACATGCTCGTTTGCATACATTTGCGTGCCCGGGAAGGTCCGCGCGCGCAGCGCCCCCGCGCCCCGCCCCCCGCGCCCCGGCCGTGGGCGGCGGCTCTGTGTTCGCCGCGGGCGCGCGCCCCGCCGCGGCCCCCTCCCCCGCACCCCGGAACCCGCTTCGCATCCTGGGCGGGGACGGGCCCGCGCTCGCGTCCGGGGCTTTCCTCCCTGCCTGACCCAGATCCGCGCCCGCGGCGCCCCCACCCGCCCCACACCCCCCCCCCCGCGCGGCTCCCCGCAGTCACTTGTTTACCAGAAGCCGCGGGAACTGCACCCCGCGGTCGGGACGCGGGCGCCGGGCCGGCCCCTCCGCGCCCCCCACTGGCGGCCCGCCCCCCACGGCCCCGGTGGGTGAGCGGCGGCCGAGGGACGAGGGCCCCGAACCCGGGTCTCCAGCGGCCGCCGCCCCTCCCGGCTCTGCGCACCCCGCCCCCCGCAGTCGCACCCCAATAAAGCTCTTTTAGCCGCCTGGGGCTACGCCGACCCTCACTCTCGGCCCGTCCCAGCGCCCTGACGTCGCCCCTCGGGTAAGGGCCGCGGAGAGCGAGGGGCGCCCGGGCGCTGAGCCCCACGCCGGCCCCCACCTTGGGGCCCAGATCCCGGGGTGGCCGGACGCCTGGCGCTTCCCACGCCCTCCCCCAAGAGCCAAGCTCGGGCCCCTTCAGGTCCCCAGCCCTGCGGGAAAAAACGAGCAGCATGTTTTGGTGCTTTTGAGATTTAATACCAAGGACTCAGCCAAACCCAGGTTGAGAAAGGCCGAGCACCCCCTCATATCCGTCCTGCGCTTTGCGCTGAACTGGAGCCCCGGGGGCGCACAGGGGTGACCGGCCGGCGCTGCTATGCAGGGCCAAGCCAGGGGCCTAGTAAGTGACATAACATGTCTACACGCGTAAGTAACTCTACTTAGGGCTTCTGCTCGGGCCACCCAGCCCTGGGGGCGGGCGGGCGGGGAGGGCCCTCAGGGGCCCCTCAGGGGCCGCGCTGCTGCAGGCGGCTCCGCAGGTCCTCGGCGCAGCCGCCCAGCCCCATGCGCTCCAGCGCCGCGTAGACGGCGCCCAGGCCCGCGGGCTGCTGCTGGCGCCAGCGCTTGAGCATCTCGTACTGCTGGTCTCGGAAGCGGCCCACCTCCACCTCCACGGCCTCGATCTCGGCCTCGCGCAGCCCCAGCGTGCGCACGAACTCCTTCCAGCGCCGCGCGGGCACCGCGTCCACCACGTCGTAGAGCTGCGGGCCGGGCTGCAGCATGGCAGCCCCCGAGCCTGCGGGCGGCGCTGGCGAGGGCGCGGGCAGCGGCGCTGGGCCTGGGCCAGGAGAGAGCCAAGGGAAAATGCAGCTGTGGCCGCGGCTGGGGCCCGGCGAGGGGGGCTGGGGGGCAGACCGGTGGGAAGTCCGTCTGGTCAGTTAGGCCACTGAGGCCCCTTACCAAGAACTCTGCTGGGCTGGTCCCAGGGAACCTCCTGGGGGGAGCAGCGGGCCCAGCCGTTCCCCACCAAGTGGGCCGTGCAGACCTTCTCACTGGGTGGCACCAGAAGGGCATGGATGCTCTCGGGGGGTGAGAGATGGGTAGCCTGGAAGCCGAGAGGCCCAGGTCAGCATCCTTGCCTAGTGAGGCCCCTTGGCTGGGGTCTGGCCAGGAGTAGCCATCCCTGCGAATGCCCCCCAGCTCTGCCTGCAGGTCAGCCATGCTCTCCCGCTGTGGCCTGGTGGCAGGAGAGCTATCTCCTCTGCTCGGCACACCCTGCCCCTGCTGTCCTCCTCCTGTCCCCCTGACCCTGATGGCGACCTCGCCAGGTGGCACCCATCCCACTCAACTGTGGACCGAGAGGCCCTTGGGGGCAGGCTCTGTGCTGGCCACATTCACCGCATCCATGGTGCATTTGGTCTACTCCGCAGCCTCCGTGCCCACGCTGGGCCGGAGCCTGTCCTAAGGCTCAACCTCTCAGCTCAGAAGCCTGAAGCCGGTGCAAGTCTTACCTGCAGGGGGGTCCGAGCCTCCATCCCAGCTTCCTGGGCTGAGAGACACAGAGAGGGCCTGGTCAGCAACAGGCAAGGCTCCTGGACCGGGTTCTGGTCCAGTTGCTCTCCAGTTCCTCTGCACTCCCCCGGCACTTCCTGCCTCAGTTTCCCCTTCCACATGGCGGGTGAGTGGGCCCTGGGCTATCCATCCTAACCCGAGGCCCTTATAAATGCGATAAATGTGCGTGTGCGCTTACCAGGCACCCTGGGCTTGGAAGGCTGGCGGCGGCGGTATGCATAGATCAGGATGGCACCAAGCAGGAGCGGGACTACCAGGCCTGCCAGCAGCACCTGCACCCAGAACACTGGGAGAGCCGAGGGTGGGTGGGAGGCAGCAGCCACTCCCGCCCCCCCGCCCCGCCCCAGCTCTCCCGCTGGAACTCCCAGCAGGCCACCTACTCTGCCTCCAGCCACAGACGGGCACGCAGGGCTCCGGACAGCTCCTCAGGGTCATCCTGCGAGGGGAGGGGTTGGGGTGGGTGTGAGGAGTCACAGCCAGGGCTGCTTGGCATCTCCATCCTGGAGGCCTTGCCGCTGGCAGCCTCACTCTACCCTAGAATGTTCCCAAAGTAACGCAGAAGTGGCTCTGCTCTTGTGTCCCTAAAACCAGCAGCCACCGGTTATCGCCCTCCTTCTAGATTAAAGTGACGCGGATGCCAACTCCACAAGGGCCGGGACAAGCCTGTCGGTCAGGTTGTCTCCCCAGCACCTAATCAGCGCCTGGGAGATGGCACCTGCTTAATAAACCCCTGTGGAGTGAATGAGTGAATGGATGAAGCGCGGTACCCCTTATCCTGGCCCTGGGGAGCCGCCCTCTGTGGGCATCCCCGTGTTCGGTCATTGAGGAAGTAACTTGCCCAGGGTCCCCGGGGAACAAATGGCAGCCCCTGAATGGCACCCGAGTTCTGACACTCTAGCAGCCGGCTGGCTCTGGAGGGACGACGCGTCCAATCACGCGCAGCTGGAAGGGCTGCTAAGGGGCCGTCGGGGAAGGCGAAGACCCGGCCTTATTCATCCGCGGGAGGCGAGTCCAGATTTCCCTTTACCAGGCCCGCAGAGGGGCCGCCCACCGCAGGGCCAAGCTCCCTCCCTCCTGTCCCCGGCCCCCGCTCTGCTCCCAGCCGCCTCTCCCCTTCCGGGCAGCCAGGACATTACGTGGGGCAGGACACGCAGCTGTTGGCATGTTCGTAGAAGCCAGGCAGGCACGTCCCACATTCGGCCTCCGTGCGGGAACCTGCAGTCCGAGACGCGGTTCAGATGCGGGAGGGAGACAGGGCCGGGGGCACAGCGGCCGGGTGGGGCACTCACAGGACGCGCGAGGGAGGCGGTGCAGGGCCTCGCAGTCCACACAGGGGTGGCACTTGAAGTTTGACTTGTCCGCGCAGCCCCAGTCCCAGCAGTCTGGGAACCAGCCGGGCTTGCAGCCGCAGCGCGTGTCCGCCACGGCCGAGCAGTTCTCCAGGGCCACCTGGAAGAACACTGGGGGTGGGGGGTGCGGGAGATGGGGAGCACAGAGGGCGGCAGGGCCAGGCCCCCCAGAGGCTGGAGGCAGGATAGAACAGAGACGGGACCACCCCCCCAAAGGGCGGGGCCGGGGAGCCCGCTGTAGACCCGGCCAGGGCATGCCCTGCGGTGGGTGCCGGAAAAGAGGGTGAAGGCAGCCCCAGCGCTCAGGGTGGCGGCTCCAGCCAGCCACTTCCTTCAGAAAGCCCCCGGCGCAGCCCGGGCCCGGGGCACCCGCCCCCCACCCCGGCCCCAGCAGCCCTCACTCTCATCACAGGTGCGGCAGCGGGCACAGCTGCTCAAGTGGTGGTTCTCCTGGGCCAGGAAGGAGCCCGGCCGGCATGGGGTGCAACTGCGGGAGCCGTCTTTGAAGTGCCCTGTGGAACCCAGGCTGGGTCAGAGGAGGGGCCTCCCGCCCTTCCCCTCTCCTACCCCTGGCACCCCCCACCCCGTTTCCCTCCAGGCCTCCCTCACCCGGCCCTTGCCGTCCCCTCCTCCTCCACAGTCCTCCCTCCCAGCCACACACCTGCTGGGCAGCCCCCGCAGCACCGCGGATCGTCCCTCTTCTGGCGGAGGTGGGCGCAGTCGCACCCGGGGCCCGGAGGGCGGCCCTGGCACTGGGCACCCAGCAGCACGAGGAGGACCGCCTGGGGGACAGGTGCTGCTGGCTGCCCGTGGGGACGCCCTGCAGGGCTCCTCCCCTGCCCCACATCCCCCACCACAGAGGCCCAGCCCTTACCCTCAGAGCAGCATCTTCCCAGGTTCTTGAGCAGAAGGGGCACCCGTGGGTGAGGGTGGGACTAACTTCCTTCCCCCTGGGCACAGATTAGGCTGGGGAGGCTGTCAGTGGTCCTGCCAATGCCCCACAGGCTTCCCCTCCGCCGGGACCACCATCAGACAGTGCCCCCCCATGTGTTTGATAAGGTGGGGGACCCTGGTTTTTCCCTGCTTGCGGACCCCCAACGCATCTGGCCCTGGGAAGGTGCTTCCTCTCAGCGGAAGGGCCCTGCCCTGGCTGGGCCTCTAACTAGGTCAGAGGGGGGGGGCACCCAGCAGCCTGGGAGCAGACACCAACTCACAGAGGGCCCCTTCCTTTGCCGAGGGACCCAGGCTGGAGGTCTGGTCCTCCCCGCCCCGCACGCCCGACTCACTCACCACAGCCACCACTGCCACGCAGCCCCCTGGCCGGGGCTCCATGGCCTGGGCACCGTGCCGGGCCCTCCTATGGGCGTGCATAGGCCTGGCTGGGGGCTTCCTGGCTCTTCTCTACCCTGCCTGCTGGGGTTCCACGCCCAGCCCGGCACCCAGGCCCCGCCCCTAGCCACCCAGAGGCACTGCCTCAGGGTGGGGGCCAGGATGGGACCCAGGAAGCAGCACCCTCAGCCCCCAGGTCTGTTCCTGGTACACCTGCGCTCACCTGGCACTGGTAGCCTGCGGGCTTCATCCCGTCCCCACGCCTGGCTCTCCCCCTGTGGAGACCACCACTTCGAGGTGAGACCAGAGTGAATGACTTCCTCTCTCAGGCCTCAGAGCCCGCCCCGGGCCATCGAGGGCTGGGACCAAATACCCGGATGAGAGACCCACCCGCCTTCCCCAGACACACGTGGGTGGGGGACAGAAGCCAAGACTTAGGGGCCCTCTAAGGCAAGCCTGAGGCACCCGGCCCAAGCCCACAGGGCAGCCGCGGGCAGGGGTCTCCAACAGCGGGCCTTCAGGCTGGGGAGGGGCTGAAAGTCGACGGTGGGGGATTGGTGTGGTGCCCCCCCCATTAGTTCACTTCTGCTTCCCAGTCTCTCCCAGCGGTGCCCCACTGCAGATGAAGGGGGTCAGGCGTGCAGACGGCATCCCAGCCGGAGCCCCGAGCTGGGAAAGGTGGTTCCAAAGACAAAGGACTCTGTCCAGCGAGTATATACAAGTCTTTATAAAAGAATCCAAAGCTCAATAAATATGCAACTTTATATAAAGCCCAACCCCAACCGGAGGGAGAGAGGGAGAAGGGCGGGCAGGGGACAGGCCCTTTGGGGCCAGACGGGGGGGAAGGAAGGGCGGCCTGGGACCCCAGTCCTGTGGACTGGAGCTGGGGACCTCCAGGAGGGGAAGGGCTCCTGCCCAGGCGGGTGGCAGGTGGGGAGGTGCAGCTCAGCGGCAGCAGCGGCCCCGGGGCACTCCTGAGGGGTGCTGCGGCCTGGGCTCGGGGCTCCGAGGAGCCCTCCTCCGCGTCCACCCGTCCAGTCCAGCAAAGTGCAAATCGGGCCCCAGGGTGGGGGCAGGGTCCTGCCCGGTGCTCCAGCTGGCGCAGACACGAGGCAGCTGTCGGAGCAGGGACTGGCTCACCCCGGGAGACATGCTGTCTGCGGCCCCTGGTCAGTGGCACCCTTGGAGGCCTCCCTCGGCTCAGACCTCCCTGCAGCAGGTGGGGGGAGAGAGGGGGACAGAGGGGGTGACCGTCCCTCCTTGGCTGATGCCACTCAGAGGGGCTCTGGTCTCCTCTCCCCCACCGGGTCCTCTGGCCCTTTCCACTGTCCATGGAGGACGCACTCACCTGGTTCCGGGGAGGCCTCAAGCTCCCTCTTGCACCCCCAAATACTGTCTGCTCCTTCTGACAGTGCCCCTCCCCACCCCAAGGTCCTGCACCCCCTGGGGCAGCATGCTCAGCCGCCTGCCCCTCCCCAGCCCGGCCACTCACGAGGCGGTGAGCGTGGAGTTGAGCAGCAGGCTGGTCCTGATTCGGTAGAGCTGCGCCAACGTCAGCTTCCGGTGCTGGGCGGAGATCCCTGGGGGGGGCTCGGGCTGGACTCTGGGTGAAGTTCCTGAGGGCAGCTCTCTGCTCCTCCTGGCAGGTGCTTCTGGCCCCCCAGCCGGGCAGCTGGCTCCACCCTCCAATTCTGACAGCCGCGGGCCGCTGCCAGGGCTTGGTAGCCCCCGGCCATCCCAGCTGGGCCCAGCTTCCCGAGGGGAGGCCTGAGTCCCAGGGCCAGGGGCTGGAGTAGCCAAACACAGTTCTGACAGGCTGCGGCTGGGGACCGGGGGCGCACCACGAGCGGCGGCCCCCGACAGCAGCTGGAGGAGGCTGGCCTCAGATTTGGACTTGAGCAAGCGGGGCAGGTGGGGCAGCAGCTGCACTGGGGTGCGGCGGCGGAGGCGGGGCGAGGGTGAGGGAGTCGGCGGTGACTCCGGGACCTGGGGCACTGGCTCCGCCGCGGGGGCTGGGGCCACAAAGTCTTGCAGGGAGGTGGGGGAGAGGGTGCCATAGGCAGAGTCCATGGAGCACGAGCGCCCGTCCACGGGGCCCAGGGGCAGCAGCTCGCTGGTGGGCGTGATGGACGAAGCGGCGGTGCTAAGAGAGGTCTCGTCAGACTGGGAGCTAAAGGGGCCGCCCTCGAACTCCGGAGAGGACAGCATCTCCCCAGGCTCCACCACCACCACGGCCAGGGTCTCTGTGGAGCCTTCCGAGGCACTGTGGGGCGGGACGGAGAGTCAGCGCAATGGCCAGCGTGGCCCGGCCGGGCAGCGCGGAGCCCAGCCTCTGCCCTCCAGGAGCTTGCGGGCTGAGACAGCGAGCCTGTGGCACGAAGGTCAAATCTCCCAATTTCTGGGCCCGCAGCACAGCTCAATGGGAGACCGCCGTTTCCTGCTGAGACCGGAGGGGGCTCAGGACCCTCGGCTCAGCCCAGGCAGCTGCCACTGATGGGTGGGAGCAGGTGCACAGGTCGACAGCCATTTGCCATGCCTGCCTGCACTCTGGGGGATACAGCGCCCGTCCCCACTCCAGGCTCACATCCTGGAGTCTGTCAGGGCAAGGGAGCTGGCTGGGCCCTCCCCAGAGTGGCAGCCTCAGAGTCAGGGCTCCCAGGCCGGGGTACGGCCTGCTCCAGCCTGCAGGGGCCCCGGGCGAGCATACCTGTGCTGGGAGTCCAGGCTGTTGCTGCTTTTGCGCAGGATGGTAGGGGAGCTGGCAGCCGAAGCGCTGCTCTCTCCCGCTTCCTCCTCGTCCTCCTCGCCCTCCTCCTCCTCCTCCAGGCTCTGCAGGTGCTGCTGGCTGCTGGGGTGCTCCTGCGCACGCAGCTGCTGCAGCTGGTTCTGTGGGTGGGGGCGGGAGGGCACGGGGGCAGCGGGGCTGTGAGCGGCCACACCCCCACCTTGGCACCGCGCCCACCTGGTCTGACTGCACTCCATCCACCCCGCTCTCACCTGGGCGTTGTAAATGGCATCCACCCAGCTACGGCACAAAGCCTGGCCGCTGGCCTGGAAAGTGTAGGCCCCCACGGCACTGTGGAACTCATTCAGGTAGATGAGGAGGAAGGAGCCTGGTTAGGGAGGGTCGGAGTCAGCCAGGACCACAGCCCCTGCCACCAACACGCCTGCCCACCAGCAGGGGGTGGGCCCCTCACCAGGGTCCCGAAGTTCCCGGCACACGAGCTTGTCCACCAGCATCGGCGGTCTGATGACCTTGGTCCTCTCGGCTTTCTTCACAGCCTTGGTCACCAAGAGCAGGTCCGTGAAAAGGAAGCAGTACACGTCCATCTGGGGGCCGAGGAGGAGAGGCCGCGGGTGAGGGACCCTCAGCCCTAGCGGCAGCAATGCCTTCCCCTGGGGGTACTCAGGCTTGGTCAAACTCCTCCACTGCGCACCCCGACCCCCAACCCGGCCCAAGCCAGCCCAAGAGTGAAATTAAAATGAAGAGTAAGATGATTCCAGGCAGGTGATCGAATTCAATGAAGTATCTGTGTTAAAAAAAGAAGAAAAGGAAGATGATTTTCTCTATTTTCTTCCCATCGCCCAGATATTTTGCACTGAAGCATCCGGTTCAGCGAGGCATTAGGGAAATTTGTTAGCTTGGTTTCCCGATAGCTTAAAGCAATTTAAACCTTGGAGTTGACGTCACGTGATGAAATGTACATTCGAGAAACACTGTCAGGAGAGCGAAGGGGTTTGTGGCGACGTGTAGAGATGCAGGTAACCAGAAAATGCTTTGGAAGACACTGCACAGGGGCCTCCCTGGTGGCCTAGGAGTTGAGTCTCAGGCTATCACCGTGACTGCTTGAGTTCGATCCCTGCCAGGGAGCTGACACACACGGCGCAGCAGACCCTTCCTGTCTCCCCGCCGCTCCCCTCAGCAATGCCTTTCAGTCAGTCTGCCTGTTCTGCTCCCCACTCCGTCTCTGGTGAGTCCTCTCAACCCCCGCACCTCTAGCCTGCGCCCCAGTTGTACACAAAGAAAAAAGGAACTGCACGACCTACTCAGCCTCAGCATCTTAAACAAACAGGCCTGGGTGCACGGGAACGCCTCCCTCTGTGGGTCGTTACCAAGAACACAGTCCTGGTGACCCTCCCGGGCATTTCCGGAGTCAACACCTAGTAATTACCACTCCGCCTTAGATAGGTGTCTGCCTCCCGTTCTGACAAAAATACTTCTTATGACTAATCTTTTCTTTTTCAGCCTTCAGGGGTTTTTTCCTTGTACTTACCAGAGAAAGAAAAAACTGAACCATAAGGAAAACGAAGTTGAAAATCATTCCCCGGGCTCTTATTTCTTTCCCCGCCTCCACCCTCCGACCCCTGACTGGCCAGGCCAGAGGTCCCAGAACGGGGGGTGCAAACGCACAGGGTGGGGGCCCCTGGAGTCACCTTGCTGTCCTTCCCCTCCTTCATCCGCAGGCCCCCCTCCAGCAGCAGCTGCCGGGTCTCCTCGGGGGAGGCGCCAGGAATGGGCGTCGTCAGGTCCAGATTCAGAAATTCCTTCAGGATCTGGGGTGGGGAGTGGGCACAGCTGGTCGGGGTGGGGAGCAGGCACAGGTGGTCGGGGTGGGGAGCGGGCACAGCTGGTCGGGGTGGGGAGCGGGCACAGCTGGTCGGGGTGGGGAGCGGGCACAGCTGGTCGGGGTGGACACCCCACCCCAGCCAGGAGCCGGCCAGAGAGACCCCGCAGGCTCCCCGCTCCGGGGCAGAGGCCGGTGCCCACCTTGTCCACCTCGTCGTTGCTGCCCTCCACGACCTCGTAGGCGTCGATGCGGCTCAGCACGGCCGCCAGCCGCCGGCGCTCCTGGCGCTGCCGCATGCAGGCGTTCACGTGGTGGATGAAGCGCTCCACCGAGTCGATCTGGGCAAGCGAGGAAGGGCTCAGGCCCGGGGCCCACAGGACCCCCCAGCCTCGGCGGCAGCCCCGGCAACCCTCCGATTACCATGGTGACGACAGCCTCCCTGGCGCGCGGCTCGTCTGTCTTCCTCAGCAGCGACTTGAGCAGCAGCGGGTACTTGGTGAGCCGCTGGTGGGGCTTGGCCAGCATGTCGCTCAGCTTCAGCCGCTGGCACTGCTGGTGCTTCTCGGCCCACTGCGGGAAGGCGCGGCTCAGGGCGGCCCCGCGGGCCCCGCCCCGCACCTGCCCAGGTGGGCGCCCGGCCTCACCGTGACGTAGGCGCGGAAGAGGTCGTTGTCGCGCAGGAGGCCGCGCATGTACTCCATGCAGCCCTCCTCCTCCACGCAGTAGCGCACGTAGGGCTTGAAGAGGGAGCCGAACTTGGGGGGCGGGGGGGACAAGCCAGCAGGTCACCGCGCGCCCTCCCCGCCCGGCCGCGCCCAGCCCATCCCGGGCCCCAGGCGGGGGAGGGCAGGGGGCGGACGACCCACCCGGGCCTGCCACGGACGAGGCCTCTGCCCAGGGCCAGGAGGTCGACATGCTGGGCGGACGCGACCGGCGCCCCCATCCTGCTCGGGGACCCGCCCGCGACCCGCTGGCCCTACCAGCTTGAAGCCCTTGAGGAGGTCCCCGGGCTGCAGCAGCGCCCGCGTGCGCCGCGCCTTCTCCAGCACCGGGGCCATCACGCTGCCCCACAGCCCGCGGTGCAGCCGCGCGATCTCGGGGATGTTGCTGAACAGGCGCTCGGCCTCCACCTGGGGGCGGGAGGTGCGCTCGGGCCTGCCCCGCTGGCCCTGGCCCGGGCCCCAACCCGCACCCCGCCCGGCCCAGCCCGCGCTCTCCGAGCCCAGACCCCCGACCTCACCGGCCCCGCACCTCACACAGCAGGCCCGACTCTTGCAGGTTCAGGAGACAGCACAGGAACAGCTGTGGGGCAGGGAACACGGCCATGGGGGTTTCCAGCTCCCAACGCCCACCCAGACTCAGGCGCCCCTCTACGGGCTGCCCGGGGCCAACAGCCGCCTGAGCCGGCGAGGGCTCACCTCTGAAAAAAGGCCCAGCCCCCACGGCCCACCTGGGGGTGCCGGCCTGGACCCCACCTGGAAGGATGTTCCAGGGGAGCGGCCTGGAGGCCAAGCCTGGTCTCTCCTCCACCCCGGCCCTGGCTTGGCCTCGGAGTTTCGGCTCAGAGGGTGCCGTCCTCAAGCCCCCAAGCCCAGGAGAGCGTGCCCCAGCTCAGAGCCCCCACACACGCTCAGGGCCTACATCTGCGGTGGGGGCTGCTGGGCACCCGGCATAGAGCAGGTGTCCAGAAACAGCCACTGAAGGGAGGCATGAGCCCCTGTTGGCTCAGGGCTGCCCACTTGCCACCTGCCCCCAGGTGCCCGGCCGTGGGGCTCCCCCTGGGGTGGTCCTCCTCTACCTCCCTCCCCACGCAGTGCCCAGCACCAGCTCCTAAAGCCAAGGCCGGCACAAGGTCACAGGGCCCGGAGGGGGTGCTCTCCCGCCGCTGGGCGCCACACTCACGTGGGTGATCACCCGCAGCTTCCTGATATAGGAGGCCTCGGTGTGCAGGAGCTCCCACACCGCCTCCTGCTGGTGGCACTGCCGCCGGGTCAGCTTCTGCCGGAAGGGTGGGGGTCAGGGCTCCGCCAGGAGCCCTTGGAGGTCCCCCGAGATCCAGGCCCTCCCCTGCCACCAAAACAGCGGGGCAGCATGTGGCCTTTTCAGGGAGCTGCTCTCCCAAAGTGGGGGAGCGAGGACAGCAGCCTGGATATCACAGGGTCCTCGGGAGAGACCCAGAAAGTGGGGGGGGGGCACCTCCCTCCCCACACCTCGTGCCCGTCGATGAGCTCCCTCCAGCTGTCCTCCAGCCGCAGGCAGGTGTCCTCCTCGTCGTCGTCGTCCTCGTCCTCCTCCCACGAGTCGTGGTCGAAGCGCAGCCGCCGGGGCAGCCTGGGCAGGCCGAACAGGCCGTAGGCGTGCAGCTTGCCCTCCAGCTGCTCCATCTTGTCCACCTCCTAGGAGAAGGCTGGTGGTCAGGTCAGGCCCGCCGGCAGCCCAGCCCCGGGCCCACGGCCCACATACCCGGCCCAGGGCGCTGGTGCTGGGGCCTGAGCTGAAGAAGCCGCTGAAGCGACTGGCCGCCCGGTTCTTCCAGCTGTCGCCGCTTCCACTCCCAGCGCTGGGCAGAGAGCAGCTGGACGGCACGGGGGGCTCCTGCCCGGGGATGCTCGCCTCACCCAGGAACTCCGACATGTTTTTGCGCCGGCGGCCAGGGGCCTGGGCAGGCAGGAGAGGGTCAGGTCGGGCCCGCCCGGCCCCGCGTCCCCAGCCAACGCCTGGGTTCCCAGCACCTAGGCCAGGAGGACCAGCAACGGTCTCTGCACCCCCAGCCCGATGCCACCTCTCCTGAGACCCTCACCTGCTTCGGGGCTGGAGGCCCACGTAGTCCCCAGCCCTCAGCAGCAGGTGGGGAGCGACAGAGTGACAACACCCCCACACACACCACCAGTGTCACCCCCAAGTCAGGTGCGCTTAGCGCTGCCCTCAGGACTCGCACGCGCACGACCTCTTGGGCATTACAAGTCGCTGAGCGACGACCTATCTCCTTGGGGTTCGGTTAGATCCAGAGAGGGGCCCTATTCTCAGAGCCTGCCCCACTTTCCGGAAGGAGAAATGTAAGCTCCAGGTGGGGGCAGGGAGGACCCGGCCCACCCACCCTCTGCGGCCCAGCCCCTCCTCACCAGGATGTCCAGGCTCTCCCGGCGGCTCTGGGAGTCCATGCGCTCCACGGCGGGGGGCCCGGCCCCGGCCGGCCGCAGAATTGGCAGACTCAAGGACTTGGGGTCCTTCACCCCCTGCTCCACCTTCCCCTCGTCCCCTGGCTTGGCTGGGGTGGCATGAGGGGCAAGGAAAGGTTCAGCGCCCAGAGCCAATGGAGACATGGGCCGAGTCTTCTCCCCAGGCGCCAAACCCAGGCTCGAGGCCCTCCCCGCATCCCGCCCCAGCCCTGTGTGGTGATGAGCGTGCTGGGGCCCCAGGGAAGAAGCGCCCCCTGCTCTGCCCAGCTCTGGGAGGCCCAACCAGGTCCTGCCACCCGACCTGGGTGGCAGCTCACCTTTGACCCGCAGGTAGTGTCCCCCGAACCTATAGGCCTCGAAGGTGAGGGACAGGGGCGTGTTGGACTGGTCCAGGTAGATGTCCACCTTGCTCAGCGTGATGCCCTTTCTTTCGAACACGGGCAGCAGCACCTCCCTGCCCGGGATGGTGGGCGGTGTCGGCAGTCCACACGCCCCACCCTACCCTCGTCCCAGATGCACCCGCCTTCCGAATGGCAAAGGGAGGCACCCCTGCATCACACCCAGGCGCACACCTGCCCACTCGTCCATCAATGTCCACGCGCTGCTGGACGCAGCCACACACAGGGCGCCCCCTGCACACACACGGTCACACCTGCAAAGACCCAGGGCCCCCAGCGTGGGGCCCACCCCTGCCCCAGCCCCGCCCCAGGCCTACCCCAGCGACTTCTTCTTCATGGCCGGTACAATCTCTGTCTCGACGTCCATGTTCAGGTCAAATTTCAGGGTGAAGCACTCCTTGCTGGGGTCCTGAGAGGACACAGGTCTCAGCTTCTGTACCCCGTGCCCCACACCCTCTCCCCAGGTTCAGGACAAAAGCCCCACGGGGCTCCCTAACCCTCCTCTGTCCCAGGCTCCTGGCCAAGGTGGGCAGTGCTGGGCTGCAGGGCATGGGGGTGGGACACACAGGTGCCAGGCCCCATCCCTGGTCCTCGAAGAATGGGACGGGCCCAGGAGGAGGGGGCTGTCGGGGACTCCCGTCCGCCAGTCTGGGGCGCCTTACATCAGTGTGTCTCCTCCGTGCCTTCTTCTTGGACAGCTTCAGGCCTGAGCTCGCCCGGTCTCTGCAGAAGAGGGCAGAGGGCGGCGGGCCGCACCAGGGCGGGTGTGAGCCCCAGCAGGCCCCACCCCCCCATCTCCCCAGGTAGCCAGGCGGCTCAGGTGGGCCCCAGGCCGTCGGGTCTTGCGCCCTCTGCTGGCCACACCAGGTCATGCCCAGTGGCACCAAGTCAGAGGGCATCTGGGCCCAGCCTGGGGGCCCCGTGGGGGTCAGGACCGTTGCGGGGGGAGGGGCTCCAGTCAGCTTTTCGGAAGCCTTGGCCCCGAGACCCGAGACCTGGCCCTGGGGGCCCTCCGGACTGCCCCACCCGCCTACCCTTTGCTGTCCATGGAGTTTTCTTCCTCCTCCTCCAAGTCCACGGCGGGGCTGGTGCGCGGGGGGCATGACCGGGTGGACACGTTCCGGGCCAGGACAGAGCCTTCAGGTAAAGAGGGCAGGGCTCGATTCCCCCCCCCCCGCCACAGACTCCGGGACCACCCCCAAGCTAGCTGGGGCCCGTGGGTTCTGTGAGCAGAGCTGCTCAGTCGTTGCTTCTCATCTTCCACCCCCCACTCAAAATGGCACCCTGGGGTGACACAGGTGATGCCCCCCCAGAGAGCCACCTGTGGCCTCAGTTTTCCCTTCCATACAGACTGCCTCTGGGGCGGTGGCCGCAGGCGCCACAGCTGCAGCTCTTCTTCCAGGCTCCCTCCCTCCCGCAGACACCATGCCCAAAGCCCCAGGGGCCCGGGCGGACGGTGGGGGGACAGTCCTTTGTCCCTCTGACCAGAGGAGAAAGGAGACAAAAGGCTGGCATTTCTTGCCAGACCTGGGTGCCACAGTGGTCCGAGCACAGGGGAGGCCTGGCCCAGGGCCCGGGGGCAGGAGGGGAGTCTGATTTCCTGCTGCAAGTTCCCTCCCACCGCCCCAGCCGCCCCACCCCCGCGCGGGGCAGCGAGGATCTGTCCTGTCCGGAAGCCCCTGCCCGGGGACAGGAAGAAAGGGGCCTCCCCCATGCTGGCCGGGGGCCAGGACAGACCCAGCACCTGGTGCTCCAGGCACTTTCTCTCCTTAAAAAGCTCGGGCAACAAAGGGGCCAGGCGTCCTTCTGCGGGCCCTGCCAGTTCTCATCGCCCAGAGGCCTGGGGGTCCTCCCCAGCTCACCTTGCGGGGGCAGGTCGAAGCGGACGTGGCCGTCATAATGCATGGCGCTGTGGAAGCTGCTGTCGCAGGCCTCGCAGAGGCTGAGGGGGCCCCGGCGGTGCAGCTGCTGGCAGTCGGAATGGTGGCATACCTGGGCGGGGAGGGAGTGGGTGGGCTGGGCCCTCGCTGGCAGACACGTGCCCAGGCCACTGCACCCGTGGGATGCCTGGTCCCTCCAGGGCTGCTCCCCACTTTTCAGCCACTGGTTCCCACAGGTGCCAAGTTCCACAGGTTCCCCCACGCGCCTATTCTGCGTCCACGTGATCCGGGGTGCAGAGAAAAGCCAAGCCCTGGCCACAGGGGACGCAGCGCAGAGAGAAGTCCCGAGTGGGCACAGAAGACAGGTGCTGCCAGCGCCTCCTCCTGGGCACAGTGGGAAAGCACCAGAAAATGAAGCTGGGGTCGGGCCTGGGGCTGGGGCTGGGGCTGGGCCTGCTGCGGTATTTGGACCAGAACACCCTTAGCCCTAAGCTCCAGCAAGCTCCCCTCCCCACCCAGGTCTCTGCCCTTGGGGGTGACCTACCTGCCCCCGAAACAGCCACCCCGACTCCCTCCCTAAGTCACGGCTGGAAGGGGTCATGCAGGAACCAGGGGAAGGGACCCAAGGGCCACTGCTGGTGACTTGATAGGGATTGACCCAATGGATGACACCCCTATCTTCACCCACAGCTCACCCAAAATCACCCCTGCCAACTTGGCTTCTATTTTCTAAGGGAAATGGAAGCCACCCGAGGTGGTCCCTGGGTAACCACCACCACATCCCCTCCCCACCCCCGCCCCCGGCCAGCACTATGGGGGTTCACCGGCTCCCACCCCAGAGCAGCCTTCCACCAAGACCACCGCCTCAACAGGTGGGCACCCCTCAGCGTGTCCTCCACCAGCGGGCTCCTCTCCATGGGCTCACCCGAACCTGCTCCCTCCCCAGCTGCAGCTGTGCCCCCCTACTCTCGCCCCTCCACTCGGCACCCCTGTCCGCCCTCAGCCCTCCCGGTGCCCTGCTGCCTGGCGCTTTCTCTTCCCAGCATTCCCTTCCGAATACCTGACACCTGTGGCATAAAGAGGAAGGACCCCTGGGGACATCGCTATGCCCTTCTCCTTCCCACGGGGCACACTGGCCCTGCTGGCTCTCTGGGTCCTTTCTCGTCCCCCCCTCACTGCGCCCATGCAGAAGTCATAACAGCACCCGAGAGCAGGGCTGGGCGACACCCCCCAATAAGCTGTCACAGTCGGGAAACTGAGGCTGACAGGGGCCACCTTCCACCTCCCTTTGCCTCCCCAGCTGTCTAAACGGCACCCCTGTAGGTCCTGCACACCCCCCCCCCCCGAGTTCTCACAGGCCTCAGGCTGTGTCTGTCTGGCCCTGAGAGGGCGGATCTGGGGTATTTTGTTTTCTCTTTTGTCTTTTCTTGACACTGACACTTTCCAAGCGCCCGAGCCAGCGCCAGCGGTCGCAGAAAGGCCCTCGGTGTGGCTGGCCTGGGGGTCTCGGTGGTTTCAGCTTTGCCAGGAGCACAGGAGAGGGGCTGCGTGTCCCCTGCGTGCCCAGGACACCAGGGCACTGGGGCTCGCACTGTCCAGTCACCCCCTTCTTCCTCGTAAGGCCTAAGTCATCGGGGAGACTGGACGAGGCCCAGCCCGCGGCCAGCTCACACCCCGGGCTCTGTCTCCCTCGGGGCTTCCGCCCGATCCATTCTCTGGAGGACACCGCAGCCAGAGTACCTCCACCGTCCCCCTGGCCTCGCCATCACGCCAGGCCCCTCCCCTCCGCCCCCAGCGACCTCCACGCCGCCGCGCTCGCTTGTCTGTTCCACGGGCCCCTCGTTGACACAGGAGGGCACCTCAAAACCACAAGGCGCACAGACCAGCTCCTGACCTTCCCCACGCGGCTCTGCCCAGCCAGCACGCGGCCTGGCCTTCCAGATGCGCCAAGTTAGGGGTTCATTGTGTCCCGAGCAAAGATGGGTCCATCCCAACCCCAAGACCCCAGAATGGGACCTCGCTTGGAAAGAGGGTCACCACGGATGTAAGCGGTGAAGACACCAGCGTGTGTGGTCAGACAGAGGCCAGGGGTCCCTCACGGGACCAGCGTCCTTCCGAGAAGAGACACAGAAACAAGGATACACAGGGGACCCCTGAGGCCGACTGGGATGGTGCAGCCACAGGCCAAGGAGCACGTGGGCCCCAGAAGCTGGGCGAGGCAGGAAGGCCCCTACCCTGGAGCCCTCATTCCAGACTTCTGGCCTCCAGGTTGCCACAGAATAAACTGCTGTTGCGAAGCGCCCAGTGGTGCTACTGTCATGGCAGCCAAAGCAACAGAAAGTTCTAGCAGGGTCACCTGATGCCCGGCCGCACCCCCAGCCAGCCAGCCCGAAATGCTGCTGACCCACCCACAGTACCTGCAGCTTCTAGGAGAGCCGCGGGGCACGGGCGGCCAGTGCGCAAAGCCCCAGCCTGTCCCCCAGCAGCTGCAGGACAGCAACGCCTCCCAGGGGGCCCAGGGGTTGGGGGACCTCCCCGCTCACTCTGCTCCACTCCGCCCGGTCTCCTGCTTTCCCCACGTGCTCCTAAGGAGCACCCCGTCTCTGAGGCTGGCGACACTGTCCCTCAGCCCAAAGCACCCAGCACCCGCCCTCCCACAGCTCTGGACTCCAAGTCGCCTCTGGCCCTTGGGGTTTCAGTGCCACCCACACCCCCTTCCCTCGGAGATCCTTGGCAGCGGCCGCCACACCCTGTCAGTCCTGAGGACAGCGGTTCGGTTTGTCCAATAACTGGCCGGCCCAGCCCATCCAGGCCACTCAGCTCGTTCAGTGGAGGTGGCAGCAGCAGACTTGTGGGCTGGGGAGAGGTGGAGCAAAGACTTTCAAGGTGACAGAGGGACGAGGGCAGCCTGGTCAGCTGCTAAAGGAAGGAGGAGCAAGGAGGGGCCCGAAAAGGCCTGACCTTTTCCTTTTTTTTTTTTTTTTTTAAGATTTATTCATGCATACAAGAGCTGGGGTGCAGGCCAGAGGTGTGTGGGGGTGGTGGTGAGAGGATTCCCCAGAGACAGAGTGGGGAGCAGAACAGGCAGATCTACTGAAATCCACTGCTGAGGGGAGCAGCGGGGAGCCAGGAGAGGTCTGCTGTGCCCTGTGGGTCACCTCCCTGGCTGGGGATTGAACTCGTGCTGCAGTGGCTGGTGACAGCTCCACAGCGCTGTCTTTAACCCCCGTGCCCCCAGGGAGGGCCCGAGGCCTGACCTCTTACAAGGTGGTGGCGAGTGCCTGGACCCTCCTCACCCCAGCAGGCAGGGCCTAGGACCGCCCCGGTTTTACAGGAGATGAAAGGGCGGTTCAGAGACGTTAAGTAACTTGTCTAAAGCCACACAGCCCGCGGAACCAGGGACTGAACCCAGATTCCAGATTTTCACCAGGTCCACCCTCTCTTGGGATGCCGAGGAGTGAGGGCAGGGGAGGCCGCGGGTCAGCCGGGAGACAAAATCCACGACAGTCCGGTGCTCACCACCTGGCACCTCTCTCTCCCGCCCAGTCCCCCCACCAGACCGAGGGGAACGTGAGCACAGATGGAAGGGGGCAGGCCGAGGGCGCTGGCTCTGAGGCCTGACTTCCGGAAGGCAGAGTCCTGGGCAGGCAGCTGGCCACATTAGGGTCCAGATCTCCTAGGGCAGCCCAGTAAGGCACCCCCAGCTTCCACACCCTTCTCAGTTGGTCTTCAGGTGCATGTCAGGACCTGGGGTGCGGCGGGGCACGGTTAACAGAGCAGCCGTTTCTAATTGTTTCATCATCTGCCAAAGTGAGAAAAGCCCCGTGCCCGGGGGCTCTGCCACCCTCTCAGCCAACAGAGGCTCTGGCATGGCAGATCCTGGCACCCCGGCTGCCAGCATCTCCTCTTAACTATGACTCTGGGAGGCACCGGCCCACTTGAGCCCCTTCCTCCCAGGAGCCCGTCTGCCCGTTCGGCAGCAGGGACTGGCGCAGGGTGGTGGGGCTGCGCACCTGCGGCCTCAGGCGAGTGGGACAGCGGGAGCCCTGCCAGCCGGCAGCTCTGCAGGGTGCAGGGTCTCTGGGCCTCCAGTCCAAGTTCCTGGTTCTGCGCCACGGTCTCCGACGTAAACCCACCCAGACTTTATGCCACGGTCCCCACCCTGGGGCACACCCGATATGCTGAGCCGCCTCTGGGCACCCCCTGGGCCACGCCCTGTGAGGACAAAGCTCCCGGGAAGACTCTTTTCAAGACGGGGCGGGGCTTGGGTGACGCCCTCGCCCTCCCCACCCACCGCAGCTCCACCTCCTCCTCCCGCCAGACCTCTGGGGCTGAGCAGGGTGAAGGTGGCCGTGGGGCCGCAGGAGCTGGTGCGGGCTGCAGCTGACCTCATCTGCTCCGTCCACCCACCGCTCCCAGCCCAGGGCCAAGGGGGGCGCACAGGGTTCAGGGTCTGAGCAGGGAGTTTCCTCACTTACCCGCTACTTGAGGAGGAAGGTCCAGCCACCCCCAGGGCACAAGCCCAGCTGGGAGGCTGGAGGGACCCCACACTCCTCACAGCGCCGGCCCCAAACCGCAGGGTCTCACCGCTCCCTCCCGAGAGGTCCCTTCCCAAAGCCAGCCTCTTGGGCGCCCTCCCCTTGGGCCCAAGTTCCTACTAGCACCCTGGTTCTGCCACTGTGCCCACGCGGGCAGAGCCTGCTGGTGGGGGAGGGGCAGAGGGTGCTGGGACGGCTTCAGGACTCAACCCAAGAGGGGATGAGCGCCAGGTGCCAGCGCGGGCCCCCTGGCAGAGGACACACCCGGACTGTACGGTCCTGGAGGGTGCGGGGCTCTGGAGGGCGCCGTCAAGGCTTCCCCCCTTGGGATGGGACTCCAGCCGTCAAGTCTACACACGGGGCAGGAGACGGAGACGCGCAGGAGGGGCAGGGGACGCGGGCAGGAGACGGAGATGGGCAGGAGGGGCAGGGACGTGGGCAGGGTCTGGGTGAGGAAGGAAGGGGCGGGCGCCGGGCGGCCGGGTCGCAGGTGTGTCCCAGGCGGCCCCTGACACGAAAGGCCGAGGGTGGCGGGTCAGGGCCAGCAGCTGGCCCAGGGTGGCGGGGCAGGGGCGCATTTCAGGGTCCCAGGCCCAGCCCCCACCCCCCCCACCCCGGTGCGCACTCCGCCCGCGCACCCCCTCCCATCCCGCCGAGCCGCAGCCGCTCCCCGCCCACACAGGCCCCCGCGCCCCGTACCTGGCCTTCGCCGTCGTGGGGCGCGACCCCCCGCGCGGGGGCCTCGGAGCCCCGGAGGGGGCGGCCCGGGGCCCGGCCTGGAGGCCGCGCGGCGCCCGGAGACGCCGGGTCCCGTCCCCATGGCGGCCGGAGGAAGCTGCGCTCTCGGCACCACCGCCCGCCGGACAAAGCCGGAGCCCCGCTTCCTGCCATTGTGCGCCGCGCCCGCCCCCCAGGCCGGGACCCCGCGGGCGGGGACGCCGGAGCTGCTCCCCGCCCGGCCCACGCCGCCCCCGGGGCGCAGGTCCTGGCCCCGAAGGCCCCTCTCGAACTTACGCTCCCCCCAGGGGGCCGTGATCTCTGCAGGGCCCGTTGGTGGCCCCCGCCGGCCCCCCACCCTCCCGCGACCCCCATTCCACCCCAACGCCAATGTCTGGGTCTCCAGAGGCTCCCCCTTCGGCCTGGAGACCCTGCCCCGGAGCATCAGCACAGGAGACCCTGCCCCAGAGTGGCCCCCCCAGAGTGCTGCGGGCCCAAGAGGGGGGCCCGGGACTCACCCCCCTCCGGCTCGGGACACCCCTCCTCCCTGCCCGGGGACACCCCTCCCCACTAGGCCCTTCCGGCCTCTCTGCCCGCCACGCTGGTGACCAGGGAGCCCCCCCCCCCCAGAGTCCTAGCGCCGCCCACAGTCCGAGACCCCAGGACTCAGTTCCGGGGACTCCCCCTCCCCCAGCCCCGCTGCCCAGGCCGAGCCGGGGGCGTCGGGAGGAGCCGGGGCACCGGCGCGGGGGAGGCGGGCAGTCCGGGCGCCAGAGGGCAGCTCTTCTGGAGCCCCAGGAGCAGGACGGGCGGGAGCTGGGGGAACCCCAGCCCGGCTCGGCTCCCCCAGGTCCGACCGCCCCGTCCGGCCGGGCCCCCCGCGCCGCAGCCCGCACCCGCCGCCAGGGGGCGCGCGCCGGACCCGCGGGGAGGTGGCCCGGACTGGGCGCGGGGCCGCAGCCCCTGCCCTCCGGAGGCGGTCCAGGCGCTCGAAGCGCCTCCCCGGAGGTGGGGGTGAGCACTGGTATCCCCACTTTTCAGTGGGGGCAACGTGACAACGACAGAGAAGCCCACCCGCAGGACTGAAACTTGGCCTGGGTTCTGGAACGTGGCCATCAGCCCACCCAGCCCTGGACACCCCTCCTCAGTCTGCTCCTGGGGGCGCCGGGAAACAGCCCCGGGAGGGGGGGAGGCAAAGGGCTCTGAAGCTGTTTTGAGGGGGCAGCTGTTTATTAGGGTCCCGGGGTTCCAGAGCCACCTCAGCTCCCAAAGTCCAAGTCATCCGCCGTGCACACCTTTGGACACAGAACTATCTTGGGAAACAAAAACCTGATCCCATCACCCCCTGAAGACCTCCAGGGGCGTCCCATCTTGCCCAGAAGAAAACGTCCACAAGGCCAAGCCTCTGCCGCCCTCCTGGTGGGTCGTTGCACCCCATCTGCCTGCACCCACAGGTGCCTCGCGGGTGCAGGCGCCACCCCTGCCTGTGCCTGAACACCACAGGCCCCGCGTGCCAACCGCTGGCTCTGCACCCCAACCTAAATGCTGCCTCCCCAAGGGGCCTGCCTCTCCCCTCCCCAGGCGAACTTGGAGCCCCACCTCCCACTCTCAATCCCCTTACATTGAATTCTTTCCACCTCAGCATTTATTGCGACCTGGAACGGCTACTCTGTCCCTGTCCAACCGCATCCGCCCGCCCCTGTGGACACTGCTCCCTGGCCCAGGTCCTCAGCACCCGAACAGGCCCGGTCACAGCAGGAGCTCAGCGCGGACCAGGTGGGGGCCGCCTGAATGACGGAGGCAGAGGAAGGGCCTTCGCGCCAGAGGCGCTGGGGAGATGTCCCTGCTGCAGTCAACGGTCACTACAAGCCTGCAGTCCCCCTACCGTTCCTGGCCTCGGGCCTACGCGCCCTGGACAGGTCACTTCCCACCTCCAGCCCTGGTAGTCTGGGGGTCTCACAGGGGCCCTGTGCCCCTCCTGCTGCCCCGGGCCCAGAGCCGAGCCCTCCCAAGGACCAGACCAGCCCCAGGAGTCTGAGCAGCAAATCCCATCCTATTCCTTTGAGCCCTAAGGAGATAGGGCCACTGTCCCCATGAAGAACGGGGCTTGGACTGGTTCAGTGACTTGCCCCCAAGTCACGGCTCGTGGGCCTGAGGCAAGGGGCCAGCGGGGGGCCGTGAAGACCAGCTAAGCGGTGTCTGGGCAGCAGAGCCTGAGACACAGGGCGGATCCCAAGCCAGCTTAAGGGGCATCCCATGGGCCTGGGGTAGCCAGTCACATTAACAGGAGACTGGAGCTGAGTCAGGCGGGTCACTGGGGACCCCCTGAGGGACCAGAGCCCTGGCCAACCTAACCTAACCTAACCTGGGCCACGCTGCTGCTTCGGTCCCAGAGCTAGGGCAGGGGCTGCTGCTGAGCGGGTCAGGCACTGCTGCTAGGCCAGAAGGGGCAGGGCCCAGGCACCAGCCGATGGGAGGAGAAAAGGAGCGCCTGGCGCTGCCTGGGAGGGGGGTCCCCGCAGGCCCCCGGGGCCATCTCCTCTCTCGGGCAGGGAGCTGCAATGGCGGTCCATGCCCCTCCCCAGCGCAACCCCGCCTCCAGGCCCCTGAGTCAGGGCGGCCTGCTGAAACTGCCACTGCCACCCAGCAGCCGGCCCTGCGGCTGATGAATAATGGAGTCTGGAAGGCGGAAGGCCGCCTCCCACTCCCCACGGCACCCGCTCGCCAGGCCCCCAAAGGCAAAGGTCTGTGGGCATCACCGCACCCAAGTGGCGGGGAGCCCCAGCCTGGTCTGCGGTGGAGCGGGAGCACCCTGTCCAGGAGAGACCTGGGGGCTGGGGCAAGGTCGGGCCCACTGGCGCTCTACCCACAGCAGGCTCGCCTGGGACCAGAGGCGGGGGGCCCCTGGCTGGAGGGCCACCCTCGCCCAGAGGCTCCCCACCGGAGCTGAGCGCCCCTGGGAGTCTCCCCGCCCCGAGGCCCCATCTGGCACCAGAGACGGAGGCTGCATGTGTGGGCAGGTTGGCCAGGGCAGGGCAGCTCTGCCAGGCAGCTCTCCTCACTCCCACCCGGCTCCGCCCTGCCCGGGGGCCTGGGCCTCACCCCTGTCCTCTGGGTTCTGGGGCCCACCTGGGGCGGAACCTACCCTAAGGCCCTGCCCTTGCTGGGCAGCTGGCGGGCCGGAGAAGCTCCTGGATCCAGGGGGCCAGGTACAGCCCCCAGAAGCCAGGGAGGCCCCAGCGGCTTCCTCCCCGGGGAGCCGTCGGGCTGGGCCCGGGGGGCGGGGCGCGCTCTGCCCGGCTCCCCGCCTGCCCCCCGCACAAAACGTGGGCGCCGGCGCCAGGGGCAGCGCAGCAGCTGCGCGTCCTGGGCCTGCGGCGCCTGCAGAGGCTCCGGGAGGGAACCGGGTCGGGGTTCCTGCCCGGGCAGCAGCGGGCTGCGCGGCCCTCCCCCCAACCCCCCTCCGCCGCAGTGTCCCCACCTTTGCTGCGGGCTCCGCCCAGGGATGGTCCTGGCGGGACCTGCACCCCGCTAAGGGCAGAGAAACGGCGAATCTTCCCAGAGCCCCCGGGGCCGGGGACCTGCAGGCCCGGCCTCGCCTCACTCCCTCGTCCGCGGTCCAGGCAGGTTCGGGCTCCCGGCCTCGCAGCGGCCTGGGTCCTCTCCCCGCCCGGCCGGCCCGGCCCGGCCCGGCCCGGCCCGGCCGCGCCGCGCGCCTCTCGCGCCCCCTGCCGGCGGGGCGCGGACTCCGCGCTGGGACCGACGGGCGGGCGCGGGGGGGGGGGGGGCCGGGCTGCGGGGTCGCACCCCCATCCCGGCCGAGACCCCCCAGGATCCTCGCTCCCCAGCAGTCCTCGCGGAGGGCCGGGCCCCCAGACTCTCTCGCCGCCGCACCCCAGACCCGCGGGCAGCGCGCGGGGTCTGCCCGCCCGCGGGGGGCTCTTCCAGGCCCGGACCCCGCCCGGGCGCGCCCCGG